ATGTTAACGACTGCAGATGCTGCTGGTTCTGGCAGATGCTGGCTTTCTAAAGCACGGAAGACGCCGTGATGTCAAATTTTTGGTCACCCATCCTATGACCGGTCATTGCGAAGGTAACTTAACAACCGTATCGCTGACCAAGTGCGCCATCGAAGTCATATATAATAAAGTATTAGTTTATAATATTTAGGCCTTCCTTATGGATGGTTAAGGAGGATGGGCTATGACCCTCGACGCTGGCCCAATGCGGATTGGAGGGTATTAACGACTGCAAATGCAGCCGGGACCAACGGCTTAACGTGCCTTCCGAAGCACGGAGTAGCTCGAGATAATAATTTTTTGGTCACCCATCCCGTGACCGACCCAAGCGAAAGTTGCTTAACGACAACGATCGCGGGCCGCGGCGCTTATCCACTACGCCACCGAGCTACTCTTTCCACTGTTTGGACGCTAATAATTTCTCATTTCGACACTGCTTATCAAAACTACTTTTGATTATACATAATACCAAAATAGACGAGCGTCCGTATCCGCCCGTATCCTTAACTTAAAGTATTAAGCCTATCTTCTGGATTGGTTGTTGATTTTTAAAGATTTCTGTATCTTACAGCTTCCTATCGAAACGGCAATGAAGTTAGTTCAACATTGAAGAATACAGCAGAAATACTATCCTTTTTCGATGACTTACTCAACTCCGTTAATGGAAAAAGAATTTTTAAGTCCAAATGTAAGAGTAAACTGTTAAGAGGAGCGGTGACAGTAGCATCACCACATCAAAATTTCTGGAAAGAAGCTATTGAAACTTTAAAAAATTTAAAATTCATAGATAATGATGAACATGAGGTATTTGTGGCGTCAGTGAAAAACTGGATAATAACTCTCGAAAGCTTTCAAAGGTTATGGCAGTTTTTCAAAAGTAAAAATATTAAAATTATGTATCCGCACTACTTTAATTCAGACATTGATGGTGAAATTATTCGGTTGAGTACTATATCATAATATCATTAAACTAAGTATCAAATTATCACATCCTTACTAAGATAATAGTTACGTATTTAATGTATGCGTCTTTAATGGCCTTAAGAAATATGTAAAAATAAATACACAAATATATTAAACATTTTTTTTACATCTTTCGGATGATCCAATTTCAATCTTAATCTCACATTAAAATCTTTTTTCAAAAATTCACAACCCTAAATTAAATTTTATTTAGGGTTGTGAATCGAGAGTAAATATATGTAGAATACAGAGTAAAAGTATTACTTTTTACCTTTATCACCTCTTAGATTATAAGACCTACCTTTCGTTAATGGATGAATGTCTAGATAAAAGAAGCGTTAAGCGCAACTTTCTATTGTCCAATGCACTGTAAGTTTTACGCTGTGATATTAGTTTGAAGTTAAAAGTAATAATACAGTGAAACCTGGTTAATTGGGGTCCGAAGGGACCAAGACTTTTGTACCAATTATCCGGGGTTTCCAAAAATCCAGTTTTCCAATTAAACAGGTTTAACATTATAGTCGTCTCATTTACAGAGGTCCCCGCTTTCACAGATTGAAATGTGCCGTTATTTTATTTTTAGAGGTGGAAATGTTATTAAAAATGCGTATTTTTGGTGCTATAAATATAATGTAGATATGATTGTACAAACATAATGTATTGCGTCGAAAAACAACAATATGGTAAAGTTTATGCCTTAAAGTAATCGGTTATGTTTGTTTGTACTTGATTGCTAGTTGTTGAAACCTGTTTCTCGATAGAATAACTCCCCTACACAGTTCATCACGCGACTTTCCACAATCATAATCTGATAGAAGTTTTAATTTTTCAGATACTGATAGATAACGTTTTATATTTACGTTGGGCATTTTGTATACTTTTATTCCCTTGTTAGTATAGACATAGTACTGAAAAACAAATCATGTAGGTACGAAAGAGGACGCGAAATGTATGTTATCAAACATGTCAAAAAGTGTTAAGACCTGATTAATTTGTCTCACTTATACAGGTAATTGAGCTTCAGTCTCAATTATAGAAGTAAACATCGAATAAATTCAAATCTCTCTTAACCAGTTTCAAAAAATCCCATTAACAGAGGTAATTTAATGGAAAAGAACCGGGACCTCATTGCAACTCAATAATAGAGGTTTCTCACTTATCCCGATCCCGCTTAACCAGATTTCACTGTATCTGCATAGTAAGTAAATATTTTGTTCTCGTTATTAAGTGATAAATAAAAATGGATTTATATTGTGGAGTAGTGTTTTATATTTATCGTATATAGTTATTTGCTTTGAAAAAGCAATAAAATATCTTCAATAAAGGTTGTTCATAATAAATGATTTATTATAAAAAAAAGTTAAAGCACTTCAAACAATGAAATAATAGTTCGTAAAATGTAGACAGGACGTGATCCGTGAATTTAGTGACTGAATATGAATAGGTTACTCGTTTCCTGTTACACGACTGGCTTAAAAACATCAATGTTTGTTTACAAATATTGATTAAATTATGTTTTATAGGCTAGATTTAATTTTTTTCCTATAAATCCTATCCCATAAAAATTAAATAAGGCTGCAAAGTACATATTTATGAACTGATATAATGATGTAGAATAGATTATTTTTCTAGAATGTACCGAGTTATTTCTTCATGAATCCTTCACTACGGGACGTTGGCAGAATTTCTGTGCAAAACAGTTAAAGTACCTATTACTAATAATAAGAAATAAGTTATTTCAGTGAACATGTGTGACTGACACCAATTATTTTAAATTATTGACAAAGTTTTTGACAGAGTATTAAGTAAGTATAACACTATTTACAAACTGTTTGTTGTGCCTGTTTTGTTAAATTTACAGCCGCAATCAATAATTATAAAAATATGGATTTTAAAGAATGTTTACAAAATTACGAATATTATATTCGAAATATTTGACTAATGATTAGTTAATGTTTTGAGATATCAATATATCGTTTTGTTGTCTGTCACATCGCTATTGGAAAAATTCCCTATAATCTTTTTACTCAATGATAATACTACTCATTGCTTTTACTCTTTGGTCACGTGAAAGGAAAAAGTGCCGGTTGTTTTTAAAACTCAGATTAATTATTTATTGTTAGTATTTGTAGGTTCGTTCTGTGTTAAGTATTAAGTTTTAATTCTCAGGTAAGTGAAGACATAAATTTAATTCAGTGTGGATTTTGTGATTTGAAGTATATAACCTAAAAAATCTTATTGGCTAGTTCACGTATTGTTTTTGTGAATTTCGAACTGCACATAGTATTACGTAATAATATCAAATACAGTTTTTGAACTGTATAAAATAACTTTTTATTCTATATAAACTGTTATGACCATCTTTATCGGCAACCTAATTATCTATTGTCATAACTTTCCTGCTTTATTATCTCTGAATCATATTAACTTTCATACTTGTTAGAAAACTTTTAATTGGTATAAAAGTTTCAAACTTAATAGAAATATTAATAACTACATTAATATCACTGTAAAGTTTGAATTTGTTTCTAGTTTATACTCACTAAACTATAGCTGGCGCAGCTATTAAAAGTTTACAATTTTAATTACCTACAGAAATTATTTTAACGATGAATCCGCTACTACCTATCTGATGTCTGGCCTATCTCTATTTATCATATTCATCATGCAGCTGCTATATTTACAATGAATAAAAATAATGTGAATTTAAAAAATTCTGGAAATAACATTATTGAAAATCCATTAATGTGTAGGTACTATTAATATGTAATTTCTACAAGAATCTTCTTCCCTTAACTAGATTAATGAGGATGCCTAAAACAAAATCACAAATTAATAGCTGTTTCTGAATTAAAATACTAAGGAATTCAAAGTCTGAAGAATTCATATATTTAAAGTTGTATTAGGTCAAAAAGGGATTTTCTTAATTTTCGTATAGGCAATAAACATATCACTCTCCTTTGCCTCACTGAGTCAGATAAAAAACAAACCCTAGTTGGTAAAAAAATCATAGACCTGGAGTAGTCATATTTTAGCTTATAGTAGTAAGGGTAAGCTCAAATAATAAAATGAATTCATATGTTTAAATTTTTTTTGCACAAGTTAAATAAAATATACTATTGTATTATTTGCCATTTGAGAGCTGACTAATTGGCAGACCATTGGATTGTCCAAAGGATGTCAGTAGACAGGAAGATATTTGGCACTAGTGCTAACATAGTAAACTAAATGCACTGTTTAAAGATTGTTTTCATGGAGTCAAAAGACAGGTCAGTATTCAGTACCAATGTTTGTGTCAGTCATGTAAGTTATTATTAGTGGTGATGTATTATCGGTTTGTAACACTAGGTCAGTGCTGGCTTGCCTCGATTTCAGAGTTGATTACTGACTCCATGTGTGTATGCATATGATGCCAAAGAGGAAGATAGTGATATGCTTACCCTGCCCCTGTAATCTATCAACCAGGACGCTCAGTTAGTCGATTTAAGATGATGATAAGAAACGGTGAATTTATCCATCCTCTAGTGGACCCTAGGCTTAATTTTATTAGGGAATTAAAACACTGCTTCAATGGATTATGATAATGACTCATGAAGTGAAAATGTCAGACTGCTTTTGCCATTATAGCTAAGAAGTTGATAAACCAGCAACACATCATATTGCCTGTTGACTATTGAAGTCCACTGCTGTACATAGATCTTTCCCAGAATGTGCTACAAAACACGATCACCTGCTGTCTTTATTCAACTACATTATTGTTATAGTCGCGGCATTTTTCACTGATCACACAGGTAGCAACAACATCTTATTACTCCGTAACTACAATACAAATTGACTCTGGTTACATGCGCTCATACTGGTTAGGGGCGTATGTATACTTATATAAGCGTAGTTAAGTTGGTTCATTCAGATTAGTACCATTGAGCTAGCATGACTCCTTAGTCAAGTAAAAAAAAATATTTATACCTAATTCAAAACCAAAAAGTGTAACGTTTCCAATGCTCAAAATGGGAACAATATTGAGATATGCGATTGTTTTGTTAATAGCAGACGGCACTATGGTCAATTTTAGGGTGTTTGCTCGAGCTATGTCTACCGTGGCGAAGTCTTTCGAGGCGAACCATGTGGTGCCCGATGTGGTGCCGAAGGCGCCTGCTGCTCTAGCTAAGGTGAGTTGTTATATAATTCAATGAGAATTCATAAATGCAAAACATGGTTCAGACAGTTGCATGTCAGGCTACAACAATATTTCATATTTCCATGATCGATTTTGTAATTTTTCCTCAATGTAATGAAATATATGATAAATAATTGTCTATTTATCACAAGAAAGATAGGGTGCCAAGAAAGATAGGGTGCCAAGAAAGATAGGGTGCCAAGAAAGATAGGATGCAAACGTGTAGAGAATGCCAACAAAAATATCTCCGTAACTAGTTGACAAGGCTAACAACTGTAATACAATTTAAAAATCATCCTTTTTACTCCTGCCACCCACTTAATTGTTCTCAGGTCAAGTAAATTGCTCAGGGCATTCATTATGCAGGTATAAAATTAATTATGATTGATCTTCACAATTCTCTTTGTATTAGCAAAGTCGGTGTGTAGTTATGACTGATGTTATGACATTATTCTAGTATAACACTATTATGTAACAATGGCCATTGTTTTCCGTTTGCTTGCTGTCGAGTTCGTATAAGTGATAAATACCTATGTGTGCGACACTGTTACTGTGTGCGGAGTATAGACCAGGCGAATTTAGTTATTAGATTTATGTACTAATCTTTATAAATCTAAAATAAGACACAAGTCATCCTTTATCTTTCCTAACATTCAAAACTTTGAACTGTAAATTGTTACACTATTATAATAGGCTTATGTCCTACAAGTGACAATGCAATTTTTGTTGTATCTTCGGAAAATATGGACCATTTTAACTTATAAATACTTAATAAAACAAATTTGAAGTCACTAACTTGGATAACTTTGATAACTTGAAAAGAGCAGGGAAAATATACTTTCATTATAATAGCTATTATAAACGCACAAATAACAAAGATATTACAAAGATTTCTCAGACGCCCATACGGTTTTCGCTTTCGTAGCACTGTGTGACATCACTTAATGCCTTGAATTTATAGGGAGCATTTTTGACTGACAAGCATCAATTCCACAAAACTAGCACCGTATCTCCGGAACTATTAATAGTAGACATGCTGTTACTTATACATTATTGCACAGACATTAATGGACAATTTTTTTATAAAATAAAAAAGTCGTCAACTACCCTATTGTTTTGGAAGTTAGGAGATTTACCTCTCCTAACTTCCAAATCAAATAAATGTAATAGTGTGTTTCCAAATCAAATAAGTCAAAACTGTTCCCGTTCTAAATAAAACCTTCTTCCCTCTATTTTTATTATCTACAACTATCCATTATGTACCTTAACTATCTCGGTGCATAGTAGTAATGAATTACCCCTATAATATTTCTAATCGAATAAGATTTTAAGTATGTGACTTTGACTTGATACTTGAGTAATATCAAGAATTACTAAATTTTCATAAACATCTTTAAAGTCGATTACGAGTGTCGGTCTCGAAACGCAGTTACCACCTTTAGTTTGATTTTAATCTTAGAGATTGGAATGATTTAAAAAAATGTAATGACAATAAATATGATTAAAACTTGGATTCGATTTACATTTTATTCCATTGGACAATTAGACCAATTCAAAAAGATCATGGTCGTGTTTAATTAATAAATGTGTGTTCAGGTGGTGTTCTCTAGCGGCGTGGAGGTGAAGGAAGGCAACGTGCTGACTCCCACCCAAGTTAAAGATGTCCCAACAGTCACGTGGGACGCTAGCCCTGACCAATTGTATACTTTAGCTATGACAGGTAAGGAAATAGGAAAAATATCGTATATTATTTACCACAAACAAAATACCACGAGGCACATTTGTAAGTTAAGGCTGGAATAAGTACACAGGATAAAAAGACAATCAACTTTCAAAACACATTTTTATACCATATTTAAAATATACGTGTTAAACAAGGGGACACTCATACATTCAGTCAGAAAGATTTATGATTTTTAACTGCGATCCGATTTTTAGATCCCGATGCGCCATCCCGTGAGGATCCCAAGTTCCGTGAATGGCACCACTGGCTGGTCAGTAATATTCCCGGTAACAACGTGGCCGCTGGCGAGACCCTCTCTGCCTATATCGGCTCTGGTCCACCGCCGAAAACCGGGCTCCACCGATACGTGTATCTAGTGTACAAGCAACCATCAAGACTCACCTTCGATGAGCCTCGCCTTCCCAACACGTGAGTGTCATCTTCATCGTATATCAGATTTTGATACAAAATTAGAGATTAAATAATGTATATTATCTAGTGTCCGTTCACATTACTATACGGTCGGATACCGGATAACCAGCGGCTACTCGGCTGAATTCAGTTGACTTTTATTTTATTTTATTATTTTTTGATATACTTTTCTTAATGAAAAATGCTTAAAAAATTCACTTTGTCCCTGGCACTAATAATTCAAAATTTTAAATATTTGTAAAAGATAATTCTTTCGGCTGTTTGGGTGTATTACCTGTAGGCCAATTCTGCTAACGTTTACGTAATAATAGCGTGTCAATAGGATGTCAACTTCTCGCATTTTGCCCTTGTACTGTCTACCTGAACTCCAATATTATTATATATCTGACTCAATCGATATGTGAGGAAGACATTGAACTAATAACATTGAACTTTATGTAGATAGTACAATGGTAAAATGCAAGTCGTTGAGATTCTTTCGAGATGCGATTATAACGTAAACATTAGCAGAATTGGCCTGCTGAACATTGATGAAAATACGCTCTGTAGTAGCGAAAAAGTAATAAGTGCTTGAAATATTTGTCAGTCCTGTTAGGTACCGCAGTGGATAGAGCAGTCGCCCGGGTTGCGAAAGGTCATGGATTCAAGTCTTATTTCAGAGTGTTAGGGACATAGTGGTTGATTTAAGCATTTTTCATTAAAAAATATTTTTCAGTATTCGCTGGGTGCGAATACTGAAGTAGGAGGTGGGAGAACACGAATCGATCGCAGCGCGCACCGTGGCTAAAACGGAAAACTCTGTCGGACGAAATGTCACTTTTTACTTAAGAAATTTACATATTTGTGTATTTTAAGCAAAAATTAATAAAATGCGTCACGATACCTGCTGTGTAGTTGGCCGCAAGAACAATGGCAAAATAGTGATAATTTTTTTTATAGATTTCCTCGAGTGAGTTAAAAACAAGAACAAAATTACTAAGCTGTAGCTCACCAAATAGGAGTATGTGTCATTTTAAAGAAATTTTCATATTAATTTACCTTTTTTATTGTATCTAAAATATATTTTTTGTATGAAATCTAGTCGAATAATCAAATTTTAATGTCAAAGTTATAGGTATATATAATCAAGCAAGATGAAATAGTTTTAAGGACAATTTATTATTATTATAAAGTGAATATCTGTAGCCTTCGAGAAGTAGTGATTATATTTACAATTTGAAATTTTATTGTTAATGTTGTAGATAATTGTGTACTAGTAGTATGACTTTTCTATTCCATAATTGATTGTGGCATTTTAGACTGAAAATAAAAAAGATCAACAGTATTAACGACACCTTAGGTTTACATAATCGAATAAAATCTCAGTAAATTACGCTATTTTAATAAAATTATTGTTTGTTTACTTACTATTCGTACTAAATGACATTTCAATATCCGACATAATTGTAACCGCTAGTTGGCGCTACCATCGTGCACCTAGCGAATAGGAAAGCAAAATTCATCAAATATAATACTATTCTTAATCATTTACTATTGTGATATTGGCTCACTTTTAGGGTTTCGTAGTAAACAAGGATATATCCGTCCGATCGTCCGTGGTAAACCTCAAATCTAAAGATCAATCAAAAGTTATGATTTGGCATGAGCATACACGTTATTTACGGCGACAATGTGGTGAAGTAAAATTCTAGAAAACAATATTTTTTTAGGGTGCCTCCCCTACATGTAAACTGGGTATGATTATTTATTTTTCGTCTTCCCTGGGCACCGTTGGATAGATCTTATAAAATATTGAAGGTGTGGGAAGGCCGTTTTTCGATTTAGTAAACCGTTTGTGACTTATTAAGCTTTAAGAACAAATTTTCGTTAGAGGACGACAGAAGTACCTATAAATAACGAAGTTAAAAGGAAAACTATCACATTTAAGTTGGCTTAACAAGTTTATGAGTAATAATAGACCAACTGTACATAACTCGAAAATTTCGAATGACTGCATAGAACACAACCATGTTTTTTATTTTATTTTAATGGATAATTTTACGGTACTCTTCGTATACGAATGCAGCGCACTTGCCCGGTTTTTAATTGTACTATAACAGACATAGTGAACATTGTTTCTTTTTTCTATATTTAACTTTCTCTCTTGTATTTTGGTAGTCTGTAGGTCAACATGTAGTAAATAAATAAAAACAGTTTGCGACTTTTTATCGTTTGCTTTATACGCTCGAATAATATTTTAGGTGGGGCCCATTCATAAATTATACCTCTCCTTGTCCAAGACGGGTTTTTACGTGTAGTAACGCTGATTGTGTTAGCGACGACCACATATGTTCAAAGCTATAAATATAAAAAAAAAATAACATTTTGCTCTGTGACAACTTCATCTGTAATGTCATTACGTTTTTTGTGTGTAGCGGTGTCACATGTATTTTGAAATTTTATCATTAGAAGTGAAATTTAAAACATTTAAATAGCGATAGTGATCTGCAATAAATTGTAACAACTAAAAAACAATCAATAAAATGAAGATAAAAATTAAAGTCAGTGTAACAAGATCAAATTTTTGGTTATACAAAACATCGAAATCAGGTAAAGTTTTGACTGTGTTTTGTCAGGTGTTTGAAAGGAATTGCTACTTTTCAAGGAATAAGGTAAGATAATAAAGTTACTAAAATTATAAAGCAAAGTTAATCAAATAGTGTTAAGGTAAATTTTATAACTATATTACTTTAAAACAACTGTTTCCTTCCGGTATCACGTCACTAAAAACTACAAACAAATATTCAATATAAAATACGGTTTCCGGTAGAAATTCGTTTTTCAAAGTTTTCGTCGGGATTATTACTTTTTTAATGTTTCCGGATAACCTTTTTTCTTCTTCTTAACATCCGTCCGCCATTTGGTCTTTCCTTTTCGAGAACCTTTCGAGTGTAGACTTAAAATGGGAAAAAGGAAAAGTGATGAAGAAAAGTTAAGAAAAATTAAAGCCAAAATCAGAAAATTAGAAAAAAAGTTACAAAAAGAAGCTACAAATAGCAGCAGTACAATATCAGAAGAGGTGGAGAATGAAGAACCACAGCAGCAGACCTCCACAATAATCAGTGAGGAGTTGGAACTTGTTGAACCTACTATAGAAAGAAATACCACAGGTTGGTTACCACACAACATTCTTGTCATATTCACCAATGTTTTATATTTTTTATTAGTTTATACATTTTAAATTAATTAAAATGACCTGTGTCCAAAAATGATTTTGTGGTTGCTAAAATCAAATTATCAAGTGCTATCACACTGCGGGTAGACAAGATAAATAAATTTACCAAATACTACTTGGGGTAAAATTCATATTACAGAATCTAAATATTAATTCAAAAAGTGATATCATACAACTTTTCATTAACTTTCTATTATTTAGTGCTATCATACTGCAGATTGCCAATTTTTTATAAACTTTACATCACTATGTGCTATCACACTGCGGATAGACACTATTTCATTGATTAAACACAAGCGCTATCACTCAGCGGATAGACACTATTCCCTTGATTAATTAAGCACTATCACATTGCAGATAGGCATTTATTTCTTAGAGAAACCCTAAAACCTTGTAAAATTCCTAGAAGAGGAACTGCCAGAAGAGTTCCTTCTAGCTCTGGGAAGTGAGGGCATACAACAAACGGAAACAGGAGATCCTATCAGAACAGAACTGGCACATCGCTGGGGAAATCTCATGCGAATAGGTCTTGGGAAGGAAGCGAAAGATGCTCTTTCAAAGAAATATCCAACACCTTCAAACTTTCCAGAAGCAACAGCACCGGCAATGAATCCAGAATTGCTGGCCACTATGTCGGAAGCAAGTGTTAATAGGGACAAACGTATAGTTTACAGACAGAATATGACAGGAAGGCTAATGTCCTCTTTAGGAAAATCACTTTCAGATCTTTTGAAAGGCAATATAAATAGTAAACAACTAATAGAAGAAATCAATGATGCAGCCAAGCTTGCAGCAGAAATTTTTTACCAAGATTCTGCCTCAAGGAAATTCTTTGCTCTGTCGGGCACAACCAAAACAGTAAGGGACACTGTTCGAAATTTAAAATCTGACGAGTATTTATTTGGTAAAGATTGTGCGGAAAAAATTAAGGCTGCACAATCAATTCAAAAAACCAGCACACAAATAAAACATCCCAGCCAACCAAAGACTACTATAAATAAGAAACAGGGAAACTGGAGAAGCCCACTGCAACCACAACTTCAACGGCAGAAACCTCGCAGTGGGCCCCAGAGACAGTCGTACAGGCATCTACCTCCAGTGAACCAGCAACTACGACAGAACCCAAGACAGCAACTTCCACATCATGCACAAGCAACCCGAGGCAGAACCAAGTATCGCCGTTGAAAGATCAGGTACTTGCTTGTAGAATTAGACTATTTTATAATAACTGGCTAGCTATCACTAATGATCCAATTATTTTAAATTGGGTACACGGTTATGAAATTCCATTTACTGATGATATTCCTTGTTTTGACTGCCATCCTCAAGTCTGGTCCAAGGACCAATTGAGAATCATAGATTTTGAAGTTAAGAACCTAATAGAATTAGGAGCCATTGAAGAATGTTCCTATAGACCAGATCAATGTACTTCTCCAATCTTTCTAATTTCAAAACAAAATGGAACCTATAGATTCATATTAAACCTGAAAAAGCTAAATAGTTTTGTCAAAATTGAACATTTTAAATTAGAAGACATCAGAACAGCTTGTAAATTAATGTCACGCCATTGCTATATGTCAACCCTAGACTTAAAAGAATCATACCTTTCTGTACCCATTGCAAAGGAATATAAGAAGTTTTTAAGATTTACATTTAATGGTAAATTATATCAATTTAATGCACTGCACAGCACAGCACCTTTTGTGTTCACAAAACTCCTTAAACCAATCATAACTTACTTAAGAAATAAAGATATTGTTTTATCATATTATTTGGATGACATTATATTTTTCAATAATTCTGTAACAGGATGTAAAGAGAATATACAACAGGCATATAATTTATTACAAGATTTAGGATTTCAAATAAATTGGGAAAAAAGTGTCCTTAAACCAAATAAAACCTGCAAATATCTAGGGTTTATATTAAATTCATCAAATCTTTCAATATCAGTCCCACATGACAAGCAAATATCTATAACCGAAAAAATTTATAATTTTAAGGATAAAAGACACTGTAAAATCAGAGATTTTTCTAGACTGATAGGTTACCTAAATTCTATTTGTATCGCAATACCATATGGGTGGCTTTATACAAAGCTGTTAGAAAGAGAAAAATACTTAGCTCTATTAGCATCAAAAGAAAATTATGATTCAATAATGGATTTACCATATCATCTAGGTCCTGAGTTTGAATGGTGGATCAAAAATATAAATAACTTTAATATAATTAAAAATTCCAAATATAAATTAGAAATCCATACGGATGCAAGTAAAACTGGTTGGGGTGCAGTTTGTGGTTCAGACAGAACCTCAGGATCTTGGTCAGCTGAGGAAAAAAATTATCATATAAATTTTTTAGAATTAAAGGCAATCTTTCTAGCAATTCAGTGTTTTGCTAAAGACATGTTTAACTGTCAAATATTATTGAGAGCAGATAATACCACTGCTTTAGCATACATAAATAAAATGGGAGGGATTCAATTTCCTCACCTTAATGATATGGCACGTAAAATATGGCAATGGTGTGAAAAGAGAAATATTTATTTGTTTTGTTCCTATATTAATACCAAAGATAATTATGAGGCAGATAAAGAATCGAGACGTATAAATATTGAATGGGAACTGTGTCCTAAAACCTATAAAATAATTATTGATAAGTTTGGTACCCCTGAAGTCGATTTATTTGCATCTAGGATAAATAATAAATGCACAAAATTTATTTCATGGAAAAGAGACCCGAAAGCCTTTGCAGTTGATGCTTTCACTGTGAGTTGGAGTGATATTTTCTTTTATGCCTTTCCCCCCTTTGCATTAATATTGAAATGTTTACACAAAATCAAAATGGATAAAGCAATGGGTATCTTAGTTTATCCATACTGGCCCTCTCAACCTTGGTTTCCCTTATTAAAATCATTATTAATATCTGAACCTATCATATTTGAACCTCACAAAAATCTTATTGTGTCCCCTTTCAGAATGGTTCATCCCCTTCACAAACAACTTTCCCTGGCGGCAGGGCTATTATCAGCGAGGCATACTTAAGAAGAAATATCCCTAAATCTGCTTTAGATATAATGTTGAAATCTCTTGCGAACAACACAATTAAACAATATCATAGTTCCTTGAAGGTATGGTGGGAGTTTTGTAATTGTAATAATATTAATCCGTATGAGGGTTCTATCTCCCACGTATTAAATTTCCTAAGTGATTATTTTAAATCTGGAGCCTCATATGGTACTTTAAACTCAACAAGATCAGCCTTATCTTTAATATTAGGACCCACAGTAGGATCTGATGACAGAGTAAAACGATTTATGAAGGGGATTTTTCGCTTGAAACCACCCACACCCAAGTACAATGTAACCTGGGATCCGGGCGTTGTTTTAAACTATCTTAGCAACTTTTATCCAAATGAAAATTTACCATTAGAATATTTATCTAAAAAATTAGTCACATTACTCGCCTTAACAACAGCACACAGAGTTCAGACTCTCTCTCTTATTAAAGTAGCAAATATTCAATTTATGAATTCGGGGGTTCAAATTTATATTTCAGATCTTATTAAAACTTCTAGCAGAGGGAATTTACAACCTGTGCTTCATCTCAAGTCCTATGACATAAAACTTGAAATTTGTCCCGTTACAACTTTAAGATCTTATTTAGCTAAGACAGAACCCTTAAGAGATAAAAGTGAAAATTTATTTATTTCTTTTAAAAAACCTCATCTTAATGTTACATCACAGACAATAAGTCGTTGGATAAAATCAACATTGGAAGAAGCTGGCATAGATACAAATATTTTTTCTGCTCACAGTACTAGGCACGCTTCAACATCTGCCGCTAATCGATCGGGCATGAATATAGACCTTATACGTTCGACTGCAGGGTGGTCAAATAACTCAGTTATGTTTGCAAAACATTATAATAGACCTGTGATAGTTGAGGGACCAACAAATTATAGTGTTATGATATGTGACACAGCTAATATTAATGTTTCTTAAATTTGATTCTAATTCTGTATAATTTTTTTTTAATTAGGTATAAGTTATTCAAGTTTTTATAATATCTAATAAGAAGTTGATTAATGATTATTATTTTAATTATATATCAAAATATAAGTCAAAAGACTTTAAAATACAACATTATTTTATGTAGTTAATATTCATGTTATTTCTTAAAAATGTGTGACTATAATAAAACTCATTTATTACATTTTTTCTTTTTATTATAAGTAGTATTCACAACCTATACTTTAAACATCTACACGTAAAAACCCGTCTTGGACAAGGAGAGGTATAATTATGTGATTAAACGAACTTACCTTAAGTGAAGTTCTATCACAATTATACCAGGCTCCTTGTCCAAGACGGGACTCCCACCCATCCCACAGAGATATGTACAGTATCTCTCATCCCTTATTTTCAGAGTTGTTCATACTACCTCCTACGCTTTAAACATAATGACATTACAGATGAAGTTGTCACAGAGCAAAATGTTATTTTTTTTTTATATTTATAGCTTTGAACATATGTGGTCGTCGCTAACACAATCAGCGTTACTACACGTAAAAACCCGTCTTGGACAAGGAGCCTGGTATAATTGTGATAGAACTTCACTTAAGGTAAGTTCGTTTAATCACATAATTATGTCACACGAATTTCATAATGTCACTACGTCGCCCTTAGTATCTTTCTCACCCATTCCTACCGCGTTAGAGTGAGAAAGAAAGGCAGCCGAAACGCAGGCAGACAAATTGACATGCTTAATGTATGGTCAACTGATAAGAGTCCGGTTCGGTAAAATTACATATCCAAATCAATGTTGGTGTCGTGGGTACTAGTCGTATCATATACATATGTATTTATTTTAGTTACACAAGATAGAGTTTCAACTGAAACAATCAGCGCTACTACAATCGATGTGTAAATACAATCGATAGCGGAACTACAATCGATGTGTAAATAATATGTGTTAACAAAACGAACATAAATATTAATTTAAAAAGGAAAAATTACAATACCCACACAAACATTACATATAAAATATTATAAATTACTGATATTTTGATTATAATACCCAACTATAAACAACTGATTTCAATCCGCTAAGAACTAAATAAAAACAAAGTATTATGCAATGATAATATAGCTCTCTATCGGTGAAGGAATTTTCAAGTTTTATTTTCCATTTACAGGTCTGGCGATAACCGTGCTAACTTCTCCATTGCTAGATTCGCAAAGAAATATAACCTTGGTGATCCGATCGCTGGCAACTTCTATCAAGCTGAATACGATGACTACGTACCCATCTTGTATAAGCAGCTTGGTGCATAAATATATCTTCTATTCCGTGATGACACATTTTTAAACAATTAAGGCTTATATTCTTCATTGTAGAAGAAGAGGATTTAAAATTACTAAGATTTAATCCATTCAACATCTAACGAGTTTATAATAAATGTGTTATTCTAAGACATATTTTTTGCATATATTATAAAAGTAGTTTATATAATCGCGTAAGTTTAAATGAAGCTTCCAAGTTTGCAAGAGACTGCTAGGAATACTTTATTGTCGTGTCGGCGAATACAGAAATAATGTTTTTAATACCCTCGTAATAAAGATCAATATTGGTTAGACCAATGTAAAAGTATCGCAGGTTTGTAAGTGAAAAATGCCTTTATAACTAATAAAGTTTTGAAATAATAAAAATGCTTTTTAGTAAAAACTAACCACACGAGCATCAGTTTGTTTTCTTTCAAATTGATACTTCTTTTTTATGAAGTCGATACTTCCTATAATGTCTATGTTGAATTTTCAATCTTTATGAATCAGAAATTAGCTTATTAAGTTATATAAAGTAATTAATTTGAAACAAGCTGTTTCCCCACTATGATGTACATAGGGGACTATGTTAGTTAAAGATTTTTTAAAGGTCTATTAGTTTCTGAGCTTATTCAATGCAAACAAACAATCAAATTTTTCCATTTTATATTAGTATAAATTATGTATGGTGAACAAATAAACAAAAGGCTGGTTATAAGAAAAACATTTAAAAAAAAAATGTGTAAAGGGAACTTCTTTTACACATTTTAACGAACTAGTTGTACGTGGTCTAGTAAGCAAAAATGGGGCGGCGAAATTAATTTAATTCCTAATTAGGAACTCTGGACGTTTTTCCTTCATCTCGGGCGGCGGGCCTTATCTTTCAAAGGTCTAGCGATTTATGGAATTACGTAACTTTTTAGTTGCTATCTCCTGAAACGGTTGATGATTTGAATGATCAAGCACAACTATTTTTTTTGACATTACTTAATAGCTTTAAAAGGTTTCTATGGGCTTATTAAAGTCAAGTAAACGATATCGTTGATTAAATATCTTTCGAAAAACGTCGCAGATGCAATCGCTATCGCATGTCAAATAGCTGTAGCGTGGAATCCGTAAATATCTTTTAAATGTAAACTGTTAATGTTACTTTGAGTAAATAAAGGAATTATGATAGATTTCAAAATTAGACAATTAACCCTTGCACCAGCTCATGAAAATTGGCGCCCCAGGTAAAATATTATAACGCCCATAAAAATCACAACAAAATATAAAAGACTAAAACCCAATGTTAGAAATGAACGTTCAACTGTTCTGAAATAAAATGCTGCAAACGTAATTTTATGGTTTTATACCACCTACGTCAGTTTTAATACCCTTTTTTAATTTTTAATGTTAGTGTTCATGGCAATTTCTGTGTTTTAAAACATTTCAATCTTTGGTATTTGAAGTGTTTTCAGAAAAGACTGATTGATTATGGTATAGTTGCACACAAAATATCTTAAAGTAGGACAAGTAAAAAATATTAAATTGTGAGGAAGTTTAAAAAAAAAAAATATTTCCCGAAATCAAACTAGGTGTCGCTACGGTACGTTCTTGATTTCTCCATGACAACCTTTTCGGTTTTCTTTCATGTTTAAAAGTAAATTAGATTTCGAAACTCTATAAACAACTCATATTATATTTGTACTTTTTCGTATTTGTTATCTAAGTTTCGAACTTTTCAAATTTCAGTTTTTTAATATGTTAATTAAAAGGAACGAAAATGACTGTCTTTGGTCCATTCGTTTCCTGAAAAGTAACATGTATAAACACTGCGTGTCTTTATAAAAAAATCAGGCCTAGTGCGAGTCGGACTCGCGCATGATGTTTTATGGAAAACGCAAAAAAAACATGTTTTATATATGGGATGTCTACCTTTTTTCAAATGACTTAATAGGGGAAGGAGGTGGAATAATTGGGAGGGAAGAGCTCTAGACCCAACCCCACATAAGGTCCTTCCTCTGCGTGCAGGAAAAAATCAGGCACGCCGACGGGAACGCACCCTGATGCACCAAGAATGCGTTTCTGCGACCTCGCCGCTGGTATGGGATCCCTCCTTAGATATTTATTTTATTCTCTTGATTTTAAACCTCAATGCTTTAAGGGTAGAGTTCAAGATCAATTACAGAAACTTGACATATTGGAGTAACAGGATCCCATGTTGACGTCACCATACGTCACGTCGCACAAAATAATTGAGACGGAAACGTGCGTGACACGTGAGATCTAGTTGATGGGCAGCCGGGTGTAGGGCTTCCAATCGCGCAGCGTGTATTCAATCTCGGTATTTGCCGGACTAGGAATTTTCAACCCCGCGGATTATTTAGAGTATTTGCGAGAATTTTTATAGAAAACAAATTAATATTTTTAAGAACGTACACTAAGTATCTGTGTAAGTATTGGGAAGTTTATTGCTTCCCAATACTTACACAGATACTTAGTGTACGTTATATCTGTTTCTTTAAATTTTTCTCCGAGTCTCTGATCCTGTGATTACAAATTGTGATTATAATTATTTAATAAATACATTGTCCGTCAGTGCGTCTTTAGTCACACAGTCCTGCAAATCATTAGCGGATCCCGCGCCTGTAATCCCGCAAGACGGGTTTGGAAAAAAGATACCGAGATCTCTCTACCTTTTCCGAGATTGAAAGCCCTAGATGTATGTACTGCTAAAATAATAAGCCATAAGTTGCATGTGCTCATACCCGATAAACACTTATATACGTTAGCGTAGATAGTTCGCATTCAACTAATGGCCATTAAGGTAGTATTACGCTACACTCGAATAAAAAAATTACATTTTCAAAAGAATAAAGTTATTAATGTTACCGAAGCTTGAAATGGAGGCAATATTAAGATGTGCGCTTATTTTGTTATTAGCAGACAGCTCTATGGTCAATTTTAGGGCGTTTGCTCGAGTTTCCACTGTGGCAAATTCTTTTATGGTGAATAAATTGGTGCCTGATGTGGTGCCTAAGGCGCCCTATGCTCCAGTTCTGGTGAGTTCTTTAACAAGTGTAAATGTTTGTCATAGTTCGTAAATATAATGACTAAATTTATTTCCAAATATTTTTATACTATCTTTATGCAAAAGACCACCTAATTTTATTTATTTTAACCCTACTCAAAAGTTTAGTTTCTTAAAACATTTCCTAATGAATGTATTTATGATTTGAAATGATAATATCTTATAGTGCAATAAATTTAGTTTGTGTCGGGTAGCGACCACCGATACTTGGTTTTTAGTTATTCATGCCTTTAGCTATCGGAATTTTTGCGAATTTTTAGGAGTAAAAAACAGCATTCGGCCCATGCTCCATTTTTCCTTAAGGGTGTAAACAGGGTGTAAACTTTCAAGTCATCCTTCACATCGGTCCACTTAGTCCGCATCTGCAACTCTGACACTTATTCCTTGGACCAACGGGACCAAAAATGTTGGCATATTTGTTCCACCATCTGATGCTGTTTCAAACTATGCACAGGAACGTCAATTAAATCGTCACTGGCAGGTACAGCCAGCGGTCGACCAACAAAAAAATTAGCAGGAGTTAATGGAAAAAGGTCTTTGGATCTGGGGAAAGTGGAGAAAGCGGTCGAGTTAGAGTTTAGGACTGCTTCTATCTGATATCAAAGGCCTAAACTAAGGTCGAAAGTAAGGTGCGCGTTACCTACAACTCCGCGTAAATGGAATTTACAAGATTTTACTCCTGCTTCCCACAGACCACCGAGTGCAGTGAATATGGCGGACTAAATAAAAACTTAATGTTCGACTGGCCACATATTCTTTTATGGCCGAAAATCTTCGCAAAAATTAAAATTAAAAAACTATTCATTAAAGCTACAAAGTTGTAACCATTGTCAGAAACTATTATTAACCGGTTTACCATGTCGCGAAATAAACTTATTGAGCGCTAGTAAATATGCTTCAGTTTTGAGTTCAGTGACCTATTCTAAGTGCACGGTGTTTGCAGGTTACGCAGTTCTATACCAAAGCCTAATTTCGACCATTCAGAGGCCACCGGGTCTTGCGTAAATTATAAAGTAGGTAATATCTGAGGTCCAGTCGTAAGTGCTCACTACGAAACAACAACAGTGAGAAATAATGTTTATTGTGTAGTATAATGTTTATTGTGTAGGATGTTTTTTAATTATAATTAAATATTTAATTGGTGAACTATTGAGTAATAACAAATATTCGGTAGGGAAACTTTCCATCCACCTAGTCAAAATCCTCTCAAACTTATTTAATTCGTCAACACTAACTGCCCCGTCCGGCTTTGTATTTTATTGCAATCGTCACAAATAAAGCGTAAAACAAACGATATCGCACGTCGCATAAGTTTAAATTGTGAAAAACGTTTAAAAGCGAAAAGTTTTCTGACCAACACATCGTAAGTCATGCGAGAAGAAATGGAAAGCCTAATCTCAGTAAGCGAGGTCTGCGATACATTGCTAAAAACATTTAGTTCGACTGATAATGTTTGAATACCTATAGTGTTGCGGGGGACTCGCAATGCAGTGAGCGCACGCAGGGAAATAAAAAACCGGTACCCCGTATGCGCAACGCTCGCTGGGACAATGTCATCCCAAGTTTAAGAAGCCACAGTTGTTGCAATGTTAAAATAATTCGTTTAGTAATAAAGATATCCCTTTACCTATTGCGCATAGCTGTCCAAACAATAACTTCTGCAGATGGTTCTCCATTGAAAGAGTAAACGAAATCAAATACCTTGGAATACTGATTGATAGCAACCTCTCCTTTAAGCCACACTTCAATATTCTATCTGCGAGATTGCGTAAACTTATTTATGTTTTTAAGTCTCTTAAGTCAATAACTGAACCATCGCTACTTAGATCTGTTTACTTTTCCCTTTGTCAATCTCTGATCCTTTATTGTATCACATCATGGGGTGGTGCTCCCAAATCTAGTATCATTATACTGGAACGTGCCCAACGTGTTGTACTTAAAGTAGCTACCTTCAAATCATTTGCTACAGATGCCCTTTATTCATTCTGCGAAGTTTTGTCCGTACGGAAACTATTCATTTTGTACACACTATTGCACCAACATTCTAAGTTAGCATTTAATCTCGATGTTGCCAAATTTCGTAATAGACTAATAGTCAAGGGTCGACTTTTTCGTAAATCCTTTAGCCATAGATTCCTACCATTTCTGGGTCCTTTTCTATATAATTATGTCAATAGATTTATTAATATACATCCTTTGAATATCAGACAGTTAAAAATACACTTTTACAATGGCTTCTTCCATTGTCTTATGAGGAGATAGAAGAGTTACTTCATCACTTTAAGTAAACTTTTATGAATTTTATAAATATTATTACTATATTAGAATATATTTAAGATAGTATTTAGCAATATGACCCTCTGTACTTATGCAAACATACACTTGTATTATTTATATCAACGGAAGTTTGTGGGTTTTTAAGTTACAGGTTCCTCCTATTTTAAGTTCCCACAGATCTACACTACTGTATTTTTGAGGACTTTACCTGTTATGCAATACCATATTGTCTTTTTTGGTAAATAAAGTTATTATTATTATTAGTAACAGGCTTCCGTTAATTTTGAGTTGAATATTAATAATTAATATTTGATCGCTTACGTTATTCCATCCTAGGCCCAGGTTTTCGCTTTGCCATTTTCGCTCGATTTGATTTCTTTTGAAATACTCGCCGAGCAGTCAGCGAAATCGCGTGGGAAAATAAATATCCACTTTCGAAGTGTAAAAGCGCCTAATTGAAGCGCACTTTTTATATTCTGACACAATTTTAATAAGTCGGTTTACTAGACAGTAAACATTATTTCTCACTGTTGTTGTTTCATAGTGAGCACCTACGCCTTCTCCATGCTTGTCCTCAGATATTACTTTATAGTTTACGCGAGACCTGAATGGTCGAAATTTTGCTAAGCAGGTGTTATGTAACTGCGTAACCTTCAAATGCCTTAGAGGTAAAACATTAACACCTCGCGAGAGTAATTTACCTGTAGAAAGAATAACGCTTACTTTCTCATTCTTTCGATGCGGTGTTGACTACAGTGTGCTCATACTTAACCGTAAGGATAAGGGAGCGCGAAATTTAATTGCTGATTATATCTGTTTATTTGTGTGCTTACGACGCGGGCCATGCACTTAGAATTAGTCACTGAACTAATAAATTAAATATATTTAGTAGCGCTCATTAGATTTACTTCGCAAAGTGGTAAATCGGTAAAAATAGTTTCTGACAATGGTTGCAACTTTGTAGGTTTAATGAATAGATTTTCTTAATATTAAATTTGTTCAATTTTAAATTCACAATGCTATACTAAAAATATTCTTGATGAAAAATGCTGAAAAAATCCACTTTGTCCTTAACACTGAGATAGGACTCCACTGAGCTACCCAGGACCTATCAGGACTACCGAATCTTTCAAGACTTGTTACTTTTTCGCTACTACAGAGCGTATTTTCATCAATGTTCAGGTAATCTATCCAAACAGCCGAAAGAGCCACGAATAACAAAACCTAAGTACTGGTGACGCTAACCGGCACAAGATATCCATGTCGCAGGATTGATGTTTAATCAGAAAACCTCGTTCAAAAGATAAAAAGTAAATATTTAGTTTCTTTGTTTGGTGTCGAGGTCATGGCTGTTTTTATTATGACAGAATAGCAAATATCTTGTGAGTTAATGTTTATTTCTTTCTTCAACTGTACATATAGTTTTATTTTCGCGTGATTGTGTCATGTTCATCATTTACGGACGTCATTTGGGTTTTCTATAGATACTATATACACAACAAAATCGCTTCCCGTTGTCTGTACGCTGATATCTTTTAAGCTATAGAACGGAATTTTATGCGATTTTCATCAATATACACAGTGACGGATTAAGACTACTTGATGCCCTAAGCAATCCACGCCTGTGGGCCCCCCTAAACCTTTACCTTTACCGTCTAAAAACATTAGTTCTTTGTAAAATAAGATTATGAGATGTAACGTACCTTAGAAGTGGAGTAGGTGCGACAGCAATAAAAACCAAAGCATAATTTATTTATTTATTGAAATGCGCCTTGCGGCTTTTCCGAGCATTGAATTCACGCAAGATAATATCAACGTCTAATGTTTTTAACATATCGGACTCTATGTATAATATCGATAAATTATCGAGCCTTTCTTGAATCATCTTTGTCCTTTTTTCATTTTTTAATATTTTTAATTTTGAAAAAGAACGTTCCGCTGAGCAATTTGTAATCATAAGCGATAAAACGCTTATGATTACAAATTGCTCAGCGCAGCGAAAAACGCAGGGCCGTTTCCACATTAGGAAATGCTGATTCAATTTTATCATCATGTATTATTTTATACAATTGTGCGTGAGTTTGATGTAAACTTGTGCGAGCCGGGTCACTGGGTCTGGAACTTATTTTACTTATGATATATGAATGAAACTGTTGAACTTCTGTTATTAATTCAGTGTTAAGGTCTTCTGGATATGTGTTTACTAGATTTGTACTATGCTGCCTGTATTCTGCAGTTTGATCGGGACACATAATTTTATCGGCATCGGGTATTTTATTCAAGAATGAGAATTTGTCTGCTGTTTCTTTGTATATCTCTCCCCTTTTTTCGCATCTCTGCATTTAATTTATCAATGATGCTATAATAACACGTTATTTTGAATTGTTCTCTTGGGCTGAAACTTACTTCAGGAGCCGAACCATCATTAGGCATTTTCTTTCTTCGTCTTTGACGGGTGTCTTTGTATTCCACATCTGGTAGCTTTTCTTTTGCACGGGCGTCTAAAGAATCAAAGTCGCTTCGCAATTTTTCTAAAAAATCCACGAGTGATTTGTAGAGATTAGCGCAAGTCTCTAGAGTAACTTCTGGATCTTGTAATACCTTGCTGACTTTTCTGAAGGTTTGCAAAATTTCTTCCCACATGACCAACATGAATACGTACTCCAATTCTTGTAGTTTATTTGACAAATTAGCTGCTTCTCTTCTGGTTTCTCCTTTTTGCATGTCATCCACAGAAATGACGTCTAATGCACATATAATTTTATTATATGTCTGTGAAAAAGCTGATTTCGCTTTAGCGTGTGCTTCCCATCTCGTTTCTGATAAAGATTTCAAAACACTTTCATTATCCAAATGATCTTTTAATATGCGCCACCTTATGGTTGAACCAGAAAAAAAATTGTATAGATTTTGGACTAATGAAAAAAAATTTACAGTTGCTAGGCAACAATCCACGGTGCTTCGACCTACTAAATTGAGAGAATGGGCTACACATGGGATATATATTGCCAACGGATTCGCCTCTAGAAGCTTCTGCTGCATGCCATTGTAATGCCCAGACAAATTTGCAGCATTGTCATAAGACTGGCCTCTGCATTTTGAAAAATCTAATCCACAATGTTCTTCAAGGTATTGAAGAGTCTGCTTTGCCAGTTCATCTCCTGTGTGATTAGTTTTTAACTCAATAAATGTAAGGAATCGCTCTACTGGCTGCTCATCTTTTATATAGCGAATAACTACGCTGAGCTGGTCCATGTGTGTCAAATCCGGCGTCGAATCTATTGGGACTATAATATCTAGAATCTTTTATCTGTGATATAATTTTATCATGCACTTCTTGGGCCATTATCATAATCAACTCTTCGTAGATCGTTTTAGATAAATAAGAGACATTTCCTTTTCGGGTGTTTCCATATTTGGTTATGTGTGCCGCTAAAAAGGGATCAAATTGACTTATAAGTTCCAGCAACGCTAGGAAATTTCCATTCTGAGGAGATCCAAATTTCTCTACTGTACCGCGAAAAGGAAGGCCTCTTTCTGCCAATGTGCGAATAACAGCTATAACTCGCTGTAATACGTGCTCCAAGTAAACATTCTCTTTATGAATTTGTTTAGCAAAGCCTTGATGCAAGCTTAAGCCTTGTCTGCGTGTTAAATATGTTAATAGGCAATCTCTGTGACTAGAACTTTTTTCGTGACTTTCAATCATTACTTTGGTATTCCTCCAGTCACTAAAACTTTAAAAAAATTTTTGGTGTGGTTTTTGGTGACGTGAGAGTGAGACGTGATGCCCTAAGGACAGATTTTTTTTTGTGCTTCATCTGGTGCCCCCCCAGACGTGATGCCCTAGGCAATTGCTTAATTTGATTAAGGGTTAATCCGTCACTGAATATACAGAATGATTTTAGTGGACGGTGAGCGAAGCTTCTGACGAAAGGCTTAACAAAAATTCGCGCTTTGGAGCAAATTCTATTGAAAACGTTAGAAATCGTTTTCAACTAAATTTCAAATTATAGCTTAATTCTTAATACACCATTGTTTTTAATTGATTTAGCGTGAATTTTATGCTTTAATTCAAAATATCAATGTCTTAATCATAATATTTTTCAATTTTCTTATATTATTTGAACAGTAGTCGGTAATTACTTTTTTATAAACCGTAGAAAGGTGTTTATAATCAAAGAAAAATACATTTTCAAATGTATCTCAATCTGTATTCTATGATCATAAAACTATTAAATAAATTAAAAAGTAACAAATGTGCTAGTCCTGATGGAATTCCCCCATTGTTTATTGTTAGTTGTGCTGAATATCTAGTTGTGCTTATTTTTATTTTCCATTAAGTGCTAGTTAAATGTTCTTACATACAATACACACGAATAAATAACACAATTGGCAATAAATATCCTATTGGAGTAAAATAAATTCAGTTACTCGAGCAAACACGCGACCTAGGTGTCATATTTGATTAAAAAAAATAACATTTTTACCTCAATATAAAGATATTACAAGTCGAGCCGACAGAATGTTGGGATTTATTTTGCGAAATATGAAGATATTGCATATTATTAAAACTAAGACTATTTAGTATTGCTGTTTGATGAGAATTATCTTAGAATACGGTACTATATTATGGAGACCTCACTTGATACACGTTCATTGAGACTTGAGCGTGTACAGAAGAGATTTGTCCATTTAGCTTACGCAGCTGGCATTGGAAATTATAAGAAACGGAAATAGTCATTCTTTAAAAATGATTCTTTGGAGAATCGTAGATTTGTCATAAATTTACTCTTTGCATCCAAGATTTTTAACAACACAATCGACTGTCCCTAAATTCTTATAGCAAATTGAGATTATGAGTTTCTAGAAAATGCCCTCGTAATAACCTAACTCCTTTTGTTGTGCCTTTTCGCATAATTGACATATTTTTTTTTAATGATATTATTGATCTTTACCATGATGCACCTAACAAGTCACGTTGCATCATTAATGAAATTGTTGGTGGGCGAGAATAAATTTCTTTTTTATTCTTTTAAATTGTTGCGTCCTTTCTCTCCTTTTGTCCATAATATTATATTTGCTTATTTTTGTTATTTGATTAATGTATGTAGTATTTACCTTTAAAAGTTTAATACATTTAGTTGCATTATATCAAAAAACATTATAAGGCTGTCAACATCCGCCCCTTCTGTGAGATCCATTCTGGCCGTTCTTCTTGATCCATAATCTGAGTCACTGATTCCCCTCCCTACGTACGGAGTCGCCAAGAGTTCGTTCCGCTCTTTGGTCACGTCATAGTACTCCCGCTGAAATGCATGGAGCTGAGTTCAGCAATTGGTTAGCTCCTGTCTTAATCGAACATTATCTGCAGACAGTCTCTTAACCCTCTCTTCTAGTGTCTTCAGTTTTTGTTTTTCCCCTTCCTTCTTTTTTGCCTTGATTTCCCCTGTCTATTAGTTCTCTTTTCGTCACTAGATGTTTCCCCTCCCTGTCTTTTTCTCTTATCTGTATTCCCTCTCCTATTTGAGTTGAATTCTAAATGTCCGTTTCGAATCCCAATTGTAAGGACTCAGCCCATTTATTGATGTTCACCTCTGAATTGTCCCTTCTTCAGCTTCGAAGAATTGGTTATTGCTTTCACTTCCCGATACAGACTCGGGAGTCTCATAAACCAGCTCCAGCTAGCTCCAGTGGTACTCCAGCTTTAATTAGCTCTCTCTTTCTTCCTATAATCCCTCCAGTGTTTTGTGTAGTACCGGTACTCAGACTTGTCCTATTCTTCTTTTTGTACCTATCAGATTCTTCTATTTCTACGTCCATTTCAGTTTTTGTTTCCGTGTCCGTGATTTGTTTCAGCGATCTTTTTCATTTTGCTCCTCGTCTGTCCCAACTTTCTTGGTTTCTTTCCTACTTGCAAATCTCGTGTTATACATTCTCTTCTCCGTTTCCATTTCCGAAGACGTTTTGTCTCTATTTGTCTTCGGTGTATTGGGCCTGGTTGCATCTTCTCCCTTTTTTGTTTACTCCGCCCTTTTGCGGCCGGGCTGGCCCCCCTTTTTTCTATAACTGTCCTATCTACTTTTTTCATCTTATCATTAGCCTCCCAACTCCTTCATCTCCATTTTTACTTTTTTGGTTAATTATAATTTCACCATTCTAATCCCACGAGTGTGGGGAATATAAAATGTCCATCCGGGCCATACGTCTCTAGTTTGCAATGCCATGTGTGTAGGTAACTGTAACTAAAAAAAGTACAGAATAGAAATATGTAACGTTCTCTGCTTAAAGTAGATCTATTTAATTTAAAAATACATACCCTTACCGTCGGCAGGAGAAATCGTAACATAATGACATGAATCTCACTCTCGACTCATTTCTTGAGCCTCTTGAGCATTTCTCAAGTCTCTCCAGCACTTCTCGAGCCTCTCAAGTTTCCCATGCTACGCATTCAGATCAAGTAAATTATTTCTCTTATTAGTTAAGGTATTTATTATATGAATATTGCGTAGAAATTTATTATGAGGTAGATTGATTACATCCCTTGTTAAGTATCATCAGTATAATCGGTGTGCGTGACTAATGACAATGAATTACATTATTACAGTCAATTGTCACCAGTTTTGTTTAATGATCGGTAAGCGACTAGTGTTCCAATATTTATTTAAACGGTAATGCGACAATCGAGTTTTGCTTCAAGCGTATTTACCTATAAAATTCGGAAGCAAGGAGCTCAAGACAATAAATCGTAGACATCTCTCCAAAGATCGCCATTTACGAAAGTTGCCTAATTTTCGCTTTTCAGACCGAACGGATGAACGTGGAGCTCGATAGCGCAGTATAGTGCGCCCAATCTGCGATACGGTCGATAAACAACCAAAATAAATAGGATGGGTGACCAAAAATTTGTCATCTCGATCTCCGTGCTACGGAAGGCACGTTGAACCGTTGGTTTTGGGCTCCAGCAGTTAATACCCACCAATCCACACTGGGCCCATTCTCCCTAGTAGATTTGATTCGATTTGATTCCATCCATAGGGAGAGCCTGAGCAACAGTAGTGGGGACGTTAATAGGTTGGCGATGATGAGGCCGAACGTTAATGTTACACATGTGATGTGCAGGTGGTGTTTCCCAGCAGCGCGCAGGCGTGTGAAGGCAACGAGCTGACCCCCACCCAAGTAAAAGATGTCCCAACAGTCACGTGGGCTGCTAGCCCTAAGTATTTCTACACTATGGCTCTTGTAGGTAACGAGATAAAGAAATATAAGTTCTCTATATAGATAAAGAAATATAAGTTAACTATGTGACATCAGAGTAACTTTATACGTAAAGTGAATCAACTAATAATTATTGAATTTACACTGTTTGCCTTTACAATGGCAAATGGTTGACTTAATACCATAAATGCATTCTCTATCGTCAAACCCGTGAAATATACAGTAAATTCAAAAGGTTTCTGAATTATCTTATTAAAGGTATTCAAAATTATCAATTTTATATTATCAAAAATAATTAACTAAACGATTATAACTATAACTAGATAATAATAACACCCCAGGAAACCTTTGGATAGTAAATACTCTATCTAACTAATCTAAATAACTTCTTGTGCTGTAAATCATTATAACAACAGTTGGTCTCGATTGCACTATAAATCCAGTTAAAGTTAAGGTTTATGACAAATTTGACATTATCTATCACGCTGACTTTAACATTGACTCTGGAATGCATTGCACCATCCTCTTTTTGGCATAGTAAAACTACAACTTTAACCAGCTTCGGCTGTATGGGTCGATTACCTGAACATTGATGAAAATACAAAGTAATAGTAACTAGTGGTTGAAAAGTTCCTCAGTTCTGTTAGGTCCTGGGTGTAGCCAGTGGTTAGAGCAGTCGCCCGGATTGCGAAAGGTTATGGGTTCGAGTCCCATCTCAGAGCACCAGGGATAAAGTATTTTTTTATTAAGAATATGTTTGTTATTTTTATAATAAGTTGGTGCATCTAACCCTTAGAGTGACAGAGTTATTTGGAATGGTTACCCAAACCTCAATAGACACGACGAATCCACGACAAAGTAACGTGACGACAGACTAAGCTCTACAACTATATTTAGTGATCCTTGTATCGGTTTCCATATCTATAAAGACAGTACTGTTAGTATATTTCAAAAAAGTTCATATGCATTTTTCTATTTTCTTTTTTTTTTTCTTCAGAAAACTATAATTACCATTTAAATCCACAATTTCTCTTTGCTAATGTAGAAATTAAATTAGTTAAGAGGAAAATGACGCTGCCATTTCGATATTCACTTGCCTTATTAATTTAAAATTCTCTATCTATAACATTTAAGAGTGATATTCTCTTCAGCTCTTGTCAGTGGAGCTTGAATTCCTGGTATTGCATTTTGATCTAACACTACAGTACAAACACTTCCAATGTTTTTCTACCTCTTTTTGTCAATGTCCAATCCAAGTTTAAAAACCGTGTAATGCAAATTTTCACCAGGCGCTAGTTGACATTTTTACTAATACTAAGCACGTATTAAATTGATTATAAAACTAGGTAATGCTACTGACTATCATTTTCTTTTAGATCCCGACGCACCTTCCCGTCAGGATCCCACGTTGCGTGAATTTCTGCACTGGCTGATCGTAAACATTCCCGGTAACAACGTAGCTGCCGGCGACACCCTCGCCGAATATATCGGCGCTGGTCCGCCTATTAAAACTGGTCTCCACCGATACGTGTATCTAGTATACAGACAACCATCGCTACTGAACTTTGATGAACCTCGCCTTACCAACTCGTGAGTATCATCTTTTTTATATATCTAAGTGTAGTCCATATAGACCGTTTTCTTGGGATAAAAAGAAGTCTTAATTCAGGCTTAAAATTATCCGTATAACAAAGAATTATATCCACTTTCCACACATTGATTGACCTGTCATATGTTTTTATTAAAGGTCGCGCGCCAGGTGATTCGTAATTTGTAAATAATATTTTGAGGTTATAAGGGCTGTCAAAACTCGAGATAATTGTGGAGCTACTTTAAAAATTAATGCATTAAAATCAAAGCTTTTTTATAATTTGACTCGTAAATATAGAAATAAATCTCAATGTAAATGTTAATGTGCACTTTTTTTATCTTATGGCGAAAGAATATTTTTTTCCGTAGTAGATGAAACGAAACGTCGCAAACCGTCATTGGGTAATGTAGCATACAGTAATTTTAGGGTTCTGATCGCATTTGTGTAGTTATCATAAAACTATTTAAAATAATTATCAGTCTCGTATTTCTATCCTGACTTTATTTTAAGATTAAATTTCCTGATATGAAATAAGTAAAAAATAAGCTTTTTTTTGAGATATATATCAATCACATCACTAATCGCATAAGTAAATATTTGGTCAAAATTGAACATGATTCTTTCATCTAAAATCCGCTCAGTTTCAGTTCAGTGATCAGTGGTTATTGCGCGGAAAAGGAACAAACATACTTAAATCCGTTTAGTAGGATCAGTCCTATCTAATTTTGAGTCAAAAGTCAAAATGTAGAATATCTGTATATAGTCTCTTATTTAATCGAAATCATTACTAATCCTAAGATACAGACAGAAGGGCAGACGGAAAAACGGACAGACCGACTGGCTGACAGAAGGTAATAGGGTTTTACCCTTTAGGGTCGAAACCATAAAAATAGGTTTTCACGCTGAATACTATGTCCTCTGTCTCTCTAGACCGCCGGGCACAATGAGTAAGATAGGAATAGTTTTTTATCTTTTTAGGTTTTATCTGTTCACAGGTCAACCGCCTACCGTACTAACTTCTCCGTTGCGAAATTTGCGAAGAAATACAATCTGCGCGATCCGATCGCTGGCAATTGGTACCAGGCCCAGTACGATGACTACGTACCAATCCTGAATGAGCAGCTTGGCGAATAAATTTGTTCTAATATAGATATTATTTAAGTACTTACAAAATTTCATTAATTTAATATAATACTTTATCGGTCAGTTGCGTAAACGTCCATTAAAATTGTAATTAGTTTATAGCGACATTACCCATACAAATTAGACATTCATTAGAGCTTAAAGGCGTCATTAAACCTAAATGAATGTTTGTGCAACTGACCGTGTATTATTATCAAAATTAACTTGTTATAACTTGACCACGATTATGTGACCCCCTGGCGCCAAAGTTGTATCCGCCTGGCACATGTGCTAGACGGCTATACACCTTACTCTGAAATGATTAAGGATTATTATTCACCGATGTAGAAGAAAAGGTTTTAAACATCAAATAACAAAATTGATAATATATGTCAATTATTATTTTTTAAATCGTGTAAGGTCTGAATTTAACTATTAACCTCCCAAATTTGTAAGAGACGCTTATGAATAATAAGATAGTATTAACTATCACGTTATGCAGATATAACGTTTGTATTTCCGTTATAATAATTATTTATTTAAGAGAAAAATATCATTAAAAATAGTAAAAATAATTCCAGTTTTGTAAGTGAAAAAATACCTTTACCTATATAAAGATTTAAAAACGAAAAAAAGTTTTTTTTACTTACACTAGATTCGAACCTCTATCTAATTTTTGTTAATTGCCATTGTTTGTTTTTTATTGATGCCATTGTTAATTACAACAGCATGATGAGAAGATAGAAACTATACGTATATATATAAAAAAAAAATTAAAAAAGAAAAAAAAATTAATAGTTCTTTAATGTTAGTTATAATGTGGCTTGATCAAATATTTCTTTTGAATTTTTATTTTATACATTTTATTAAGAGTGGTCGGTGTATGAAAGTTTGAAACTATAAGTTGTTAAGTTGGTTTTAGTGAAAAGGAAAACTGCATAATTATAAATACATTAAATAAATAAGTCAAATACATTAAAACAAAAACTACTTTTTAGTTCAGGAATCGAACTCGTTCATGTTAAAGAACTACACAATCTGTAGGTATTAATGTGGAATAAAATTAGTTCCTAAACTAAATTGGGCCATGATGTTAGTTATTAAACTCATTGAATTTGGGCAAGCTATATTCCAAAATTAACTGATACCTCAGACCGCTATACCTAGTTTTACTTTCTTTCAGACCGCTATATCTAGTTTCTTAATGTAAAGAAAATCATCGCTATAGTATAATATATAATATAGCCCCACACACTGGCGTAGTGTACTTTGAGTAGCCCTGAATTAAAATTAGTCGTGGGTGCCCAAATGGAGGGCAAAAAATTTTGCTTAGATACTTTTACTAAAATAAAAATTTACTCACGTTAAGGGTACCTATCGTTGCTACCTACTAGCCAGTTAGTAGCTTACTTTAGCTTATTTTTGTATTTACATTTTTGCATTTACGAACAAAACGTATTTTTGGCTTCCTACATTTGTTTCTAGGTATCTTCTCTAGGCACTAATGATACACAACTATTTTTTTCACATATTTTTTATTACTTTAAAGTCGGTTTATGTGTATATATTACTTATTGAGACAGGATACAAAGATTTTCTATCGGTAGGTACTTACCTATTAAGTGCTGGATCTAGCTAGACGGGTAGAGTAAAATATCTGGGCAAAAAATTTCATAAAATCCAGATTACTCGGGACAAAAATCGATGCATTCATCCTTCGTCTCAGAAAAATATTGATGATTTACAAATAGAGATAATGGGATTATTTCTAGGTCGTTTTAGCTGTTACCTAGCAATCGATTGAACGATTCAATAATTTTTTCAATTATTTAACATTCGATGGGATATATCTTTCTTTTTCGGGACTCTGGACATCCTCCATAAATTCGGGACAATCCAGACCAATCCCGATCAGCTGGCAATCCTAACGGGATCCGTAGGCAGTTGCTTACTCTACATCAGGGGTGGGCAGACTTTCACTAATGGCGATCTATATCAATAAATTGAGACGACAAGCGATCGACTTGCAATAAGACAATATTTTTTTATGTTAAATCGTTTATTGTAGGTATTGCGCACATATCACTATTTAAATATACTTTTATTTACAATTAAAGAAGTACAGTTTCTTATTATACAAGTTAATAACTAATAACTACTAAAAATAAGTATGAAGCCAATCACATGAACTAAGAGTGTTTTTATCAGTTTTCGGGCCTCTCTGGACTGATTTACATAGAGGTCGATGCATGGCACTGCGTATTTTCTGCTAATTTCTCATAGGAAGGCACGTATTTAGTAAGTGCCAAACGTAAACAGGAAGACAAATGTTCGTCGGTAAGTCGATTGCGGTATTTGGATTTAATTATTTTCATTTCAGAAAACGCAGATTCGCACAAATACGTCGACCCAAACAAAGCAGTTAATTGCTGTGCGATTTGTTGGAGACTTGGGTATTTTTCTTGGGTCAAAAGAGACCAAAAACTGATATCTGTTGCTTTGGCTTTTAGGTGAACATCTGAAATGATCTGTATCATCTCGTTTTCGAGAGAAGACAAATCCATGTCAAAAGTGTTCGATATTTCAGAAGCAGTAATTTCAACATCCACACAAGAAAAAGGATAAATCATGAAAGTAACAACGTTCGTCAATTTTTGTAAGTCAGAAAAACGTCTTTCAAACTCGCTGAGAATATTTCCAAGTTCTGTTTCGTATTTATTATAATTTATTACGGCGCTTGTTTTTGCTTTCAAACACGCAAAATTTTTCAAGTCCTTTTTTTTCAGTTGGTTGATCAGAAGCTGCAATTTACTTTTAAATGAGTTAATTGTGCTAATCATGTCCATAATAGTTTTATCTTTCCCTTGTAGTTCCAGGTTTATAGAATTCAAATGACCAGTCACATCAGTAAGGAAAGCCAAATCACACAGCCAACTTTCACTTTTAAGAATCTCCGTGTCATCACCCCTTTGATCCAGAAAAGAAATGATTTCAGGTAGTAATTCTTGAAACCGTTCTAAGAACTTTCCCCGGCTCAGCCACCTTACGTCTGTATGGAGCAATAAATCTGTGTGCTCAGATTCGCTGGCCTCCAATTGCACTTTGAAGAGGCGTCGTTGCAAGCTTCTGGCTCGTATAGAATTTACGATCTTCATAGTGATGCTCATCACATCTGCCATGTTCAGTACTTTCGAACACAACACCTGCTGATGAATGACGCAATGAAAAGAAAAAAAAGATGGGAGGTCTTCATTAGCTCTGCACAGTGCCACAAATCCATTAGTCTTTCCAGTCATTGATGGTGCTCCATCTGTTGTTATGCACACTAGTTTATACAGAGGCAGCTCGTAGTTTTTCGCAAAACTTAGAAAAGCATCGTATATGTCTGAACCGCGAGTGGTTTCTTTCAAAGGTATGATTGTTAAGAACTCTTCTTTAGACGACGTATCTGGAAATGCCATCCGAATAAACACACATAGCTGGGCAGTGTCAATCATATCAGTGGATTGGCAGTGTCAACAATTATAGACCTATATCCGTTTTAACTACGCTATCCAAAATCCTTGAAAAGATCTTAAATTGTAGGCTCCTCGGTTATCTCGATACCAATAATATAATTGCGGATAACCAATATGGCTTCCGTCGAGGAAAGTCCACTGAAGATGCCTTGCTTGATCTGACAGGAGCAGTAATAAAAAACTTTAACTCAAAAGTTCAAACTATTGGGCTTTTTCTAGATCTTTCTAAGGCCTTTGACACAGTTTCCGTCCCGCTCCTATTGAACAAGCTGTCGGAGATTGGGATCAGGGGTGTGGTTCACAAAATTTTCGAGAGCTACCTTAGTAACCGCCGTCAATGTGTTAAAATAGATGACATCGTTAGCCATGATGAGAATCTCCATTTCGGTGTCCCCCAGGGAAGCGTCTTAGGACCTACCCTTTTCAATATATATATAAATGAACTTTGCAAACTCACTCTGCCAAACTGTAGAATTTTAATATATGCAGATGATACTGCTTTACTAGTGCATGGTACAGATTGGTTAAATGTTCATGCTAATGCGGAATTCGCTCTGCATATTGTTATGAAATGGCTATCCCTAAATTTATTAACATTAAATCTAACGAAAACTAACTTCATAACTTTTTCCCCTGCTAGAGTGTCTTTACCATCCTTCCCGTTCCATATCTTTGCTCATAAGTCTCCTCCACAAACATGTGTAAATTGTGAATGTACTCAAATTACACATGTAACCCAGATTAGATATTTGGGAGTACACGTGGATGGTCTGTTGACATGGAAGGTACATATAAAAAACACGGTTGGTCGTATCAGAAAACTTATTTACGTCTTCAAGAACCTCAGACATGTAGCTGATTATGATACATTAAAAAAAGTCTACTATGCATTGGGACAATCTGTTCTTTCATATTGTATCTCCGTCTGGGGAAGCTCAGGAAAAACAGAACTTTTGCGACTAGAAAGAGCTCAAAGAGCGGTGCTTAAGGTTATTATCGGCAAACCAGCTTATTTCCCCACTATTGAGTTGTATGCTCTTACTGACGTTTTAACAGTGCGTCAGATTTATCTCCTGCAAATTATTTTACGGCAACACGCTCAACTCCCATTTCCAACTATAAGTGATAAGCCTTACCCCTGTAAAAGCAAACGTAGACCAGTCTTGCCATGTAAAATCGAGATGTGTAGGTTATCTGTATCTGCTAAACATTTTAACTTCTTGGCTCCAAAATTATACAACAAAATTAATAACTTGTTAAAATTACATCCTCTCACTTCGCGAGAATGCAAAACTCGATTGGTACAGTGGCTAAAAACATTATCCTACAGTGATACTGAGGACTTGTTAAAGAGTTGTATGTAAACAGACATATAGTGATTCATCGCAGTTTGTATAAAAGAAATACACAAAAACATATAATACAATTACACACAAACTTACACTCATATACACATACTCATACTTTCATATACACTAACATTCTACACACACAGTAGTAATGATAAGAATGCATGCTATTTAATTTAATTCTAAACTTGAATTATATAAATACGTCGAGTGGAACGTTGTTCTTTATACAATGAAGGTATAAGGTAAGGGCGTTTGTGGCTGCAACTCAGTTTTTAAACTAAAGCGGCTGCTTTCGTACACGATAATATCTGTAAAGTGTAAAGTTCCAATAAAAAATATTATTATTATTATTATATTATTATTCATCAAATTGTAAAGAAAAGAATGAACATCTCATAATATCACTTTTTAGCTTTTGCTCGATATCACTGTTCATGAGCTCAACACGTCTAGTTACAGTCCGACGAGACAACTGGAGCTCTTTTATGGCAGACATGATTTCAGTTTTATTTTTAAAGCCGCCAAATAATGAATTTGCGCCTTCGAGAAATGCTTTTTTCAATACCTCGCCATCTTCAAAGGGTTTTTTGTGTTTTGCAATATATGAGATATTTTGAAGGACGCAACTGTCGCAGCTTCCGATTGTTTACTTGGCCTGGTAAACATAGCTTGCTCGGCCTTCAAGCTACCTTTCAGATCTTGAACTTTCTGACGTCTTATTTCACTTTTGAGAGGAAAATCACTTTCGTAAATTTTATGCAAGGATTTATGATGCCTTTCTAAGTTGCCGCGTTTAGGCAAAGCTACTGAAGCTCGACAAACAAGACAAATACACTTGTCTTTCACCATGGTAAATAAGAATTCTTCTTCCCATTCATCGTTGAAATGATAAGTTTTACTTTTTTTTGGCGCACTCATTTTAAATAATAGTTACCAACTTCACTCTCTCCTTTAGTTACCCTCAGTACAAAATATATTCATGAGCAGCACGAAGTCACACGATCACGAAAGTTATTGGGAAACATAAACAAGTACAGAATCCAGAATCACGACATGACGTCTCACCGAAACCAAAATCTGTGCGAGACTGGCGAACACGTGCCGGCCGTCGGCAATTGTCAAAGCAAAGTAAATCGGGCGGCAAGCATAAAACTAATTCGCCGCCCGCACAGGTCAAAGGACGCCGCCGCGCCGTTTAACGAGCCGACACCGGCACACGTGCACAGTACAGCCGCAAATAAATCTGGTGCCTTCTTATTTCATATCGACATTTTCGCAGTGAAAGGTTGTTTGTTGACAAGTATTTTCTTCTTAAAGTTACGCGCGTGTAAAATAAAATGTTTTTTATGACCGCACTTTAGATACTGGTATTTTGACTGGTGAAAAGACCACTGTTATTGGAATTAGCCCAACACGTCAGTACATTTTTAGGAATGCGATCGACCATAGATTCCCTTGCGATCGACCGGTCGATCGCGATCGACCGTTTGCCCACCCCTGCTCTACATTCAAGCTAATCCGGCCCTCTTATACATACCTACTTTGAAAACTTATATATTACTCGATAAAACCAAGGGATAGAGCCTTTCTAATGTTCAGAGTATAAAGATAACTTTATCCACAATCCCAAATTATATTATCGAATATCATCTTATCTTTGGTTTTCACACGATATTTATCAGGTGTAACAACATCTGATTAGGTACTCCGTAACAACAATACAAACTAGCTGTCTCTCCTCATACTGGTTAGTGGCTTATATACTTGCTAAGTAAGCATAGAGGGCTCATTCGTTTGATAACTGTGGAGTAAAGTAATCACACTAAACTCGAATAAAATATTTTTTTTCGAAGGTCAAAATGGGAACATTTTTGAGATGTGTTATTGTTTTATTAGTAGCAGACAGCATGGTCAATAGGGTGTTTTCAGAAGTGACAAGTACAGTGACGAACTCTTTCGAGGCGAACCAAGTGGTGCCCGATGTGGTGCCGAAGGCGCCTACTGCTCTTGTCAAGGTTAGTTACTTTATTAGTATTTTTAACAAGCTTATATCGCGAATTCACCCGCGTAAATTAAGGATATTTCCAAACTTACAAATTATTTCACACAAACTAGGTGTAAACAATGACATTGGCCTAAACTTTTTTGAGATTTTGCATATTATTTTTATGAGACCTCCTCACCTTAAGGTTCTTTACACATGGCTCCGTAATATAAAACAACATTTTTTTCTTAATTCAATATACTTTCTACTGTAATTTTTATTTAAGAATTAATGTCTTTACATAGTCGTTGAACCTCCTCAATCGCAGATCAAAAACGCTAAACACTACACCATCAAGCTCTTCACATATATAGCAGTGATATTGCCACATTTTTCATCAAATTGAATATATTTTGATTATTTGGTAATATTGGTATACCCCTGCATATGAGATTGCGCATAAGTAGATAGAGCCCTCATACAATTGAAATGATATCGCAGACTATCTGTACGTATACGTAATTCGATATAGAGGAGATTTGTGACTGATATTGACAGATTGCGTAATAAAAGTAAACTAACACTAGCGATTCTCCATACATATTATAAGGGTGCGCGATTCGTGCGATATCGCTCGTCCATATCGAATCGCAGGAAAAGCCTATAAAAAATTTAACAAGATTATTGTGTATGATAATAACATTAGTAAGGGATAAATAGCCTTTGAATTTGATATCTCGCACAGCTCGCTTTTCAGCCGGAGGAACTCTGTCCTGTTATAAGTACTAAGTCCATGGTTATCTGACAATGAATAAAAATAATACAGTCCTAATCTAAACCATGTTAGAAACTTAACAATATTACTACGTACTTTGTTTACATTAGTAAGGATTAGATATGATAATATAATCAGAGAACGTATGATCAGAGGAGGAGTAGCTCTGTGGCGTAGAGGATCGACACCGCGGCCCACGGTCGTTATTGTTAAGCAACTTTCGTAAGGGTCTTTCGGTCACGGGATAAGTGACCAAAAAATATTATTTTGAGCTACTCCGTGCTTTAGAAGGCACGTTGAGCCGTTGGTCCCGGTTGTATTTGTAGTCGTTAATGCCCTCCAGTTGGGATTGGACCATCGTATAGGGTAATGGCCCATCTTCCTTAACCGACCATAAGGAAGGCCTGAGCCCCTGAAATGGGGACGTAAATGGGCTGAGGATGATAAATCAGAGGATGTGACATTTAAGTTTACACACTGGACTCGTGATTATCGGCTAATCATCAGATAACGCATACTTCTGTGATGAGCTCGACGGTTCTACGATCGAAAGAGAAATATATTTCTGCGCGATCTATTTTTTTTAATGCAACTTCTTTATATCTCAATAATATATTGCTGATAGAATGCTCAAGGCCAGTTGTTCTGCATATAGCTACAACGGTTTCCAACTCGAAAAAAAATAACGAGATTTTATGATAGTAAAAAAATCACAATAGATGTGACAAGTGTTGTATCAGAGGCACCTGTGGCGAGCATGACAACCGCCCAAGGCCTTTATTAGAGCCTCAACGGACTAGAAAAACAAAAAAAAATGGCCAAACGCGTCTCGGACTGGCGTTCGAAGAGTTCCGTTCCGGAAATTAGCAAAAAAATCACGATTGCATATTGCCCCCTATTATTTATTATATTCTGTTTTTTGGTATTTGTTGTTATAGCGACAACAGTAATACATAATCTGTGAAAATTTCAACTGTTTAGCTATCACGGTTCGTGAGATACTGTCTGGTGCGATACTGTACCGTTTCACCCTTTGGGTACAGAACCCTAAAAATTGAGATTGGAATAAAAATAATCATTTAATTTCCTATATCAAAATTTTTGTAATACAGCCATCAGATATATGTTATATATCATTTATATATGTAACATTTGGGGCATCCACACAATCTTTTCTTGAAAGCTTTCTTTGACAAGTGACAAAAATACGGGAAAACAAAATAAAACGCTTGGTAGACAGTTTAACCTGTTGACTCAAATTTACCTACCGCACAGCGAATCGCCATCGGTAGGACAATAAGGTCGAAGTGGAACATTGTCTGAACAGAAGTTAATAGAACACACATTTTGACAAGAATTTTCCAGAATTTTCCCATGCACATGAAATTGAGCATTACGTCCATCTACGGCGTTTGACAAAACATACTGTTTAAAATAATATAACCAATGTAGCCTCAACTATGTGGGTACTTGGGTGAAAAATTCTAAGTGAGCTGAATTTTTGTATACACCTTTGTGTGCGTACCAAACAAACACATGGTGTTTTAAAGATATCATGCTGCTAAAAAATATTCAAGGTCACGAAAACCAGTCTCTTGTGAATATCTTTAGTGTTATTAATACGAGGTCAATAAGATCATCACAAGAATTGTTTGCCTTTTCATTGTCTAAAAATAACGTCTTTTGCATTTTTCTGCTCAATCAACCGTTTTCGAAGTAGAGCGTAGAGAAAGCACTATTCAGATTCTGTTCCGATTGAGAAAAGTCGTTATCCGGACTGAATCATAAGAAAATTAATGTCCCCTGGATAGAATGGTCTTAATTACTCGCACCGAATAGGTGAACTCTGTGTGACTATATCATCCTTTGTTGAGTGAGAGAGAGCGGAACTTAAATAGAATAAATATAAGTATTTGTAATATATATATGATGTTTAGGTGGTGTTCCCTAGTGGCGTAGAGGTGAATGAAGGCAACGAGCTAACTCCTACTCAAGTTAAAGATGTCCCAACAGTCACGTGGGACGCTAGCCCTGATGAATTTTATACTTTGGCTATGACAGGTAATGATATAAAGAAACATTATCGTGTCTGTTTGTCAAATATTCAAATATTAAGGAGATGACAATCTAGAAAAAATGGTTATTGTTGGAGTATTGCCAACAATAACCATTTTTTATAGATAGAAGGGAAAAAAACACGTTGGTTCTACCAAGTGAAAGCGGACCTCCAACAAATTCCACACAAACAGTATCAGTGCTATGGAGCGTGACAAGTATAGAAAAACTGTACCCTCCTCTGTATTCCAAGTTTACAATCTTCAGTAATAGAGTACCGACTAGAAAGAGACAGAGTTGCGAAATTGTCATATTTTATAGATTATTTATTTTTAGTTGATCTTGATTAAATTTGAATGATTTAATTTTTATCAATGTATTTTATCTAAATTAATTTAATGACAAATGAAAAGAGGACAGTGAGTGGTAAAACAAGTCACTAAATAATAGCTGACGTCAAACTTGAAGGCCTGTTACCATCGTATATTAAAACATATGACTTTAACTATTATCACATGCTGTTTCCATGACATGTTAAATCTGCAACTGGCTATGTCTGCTCTAAAACGACTACTTGAAAACAATATTTTCATTTGTTCTTACCAATATAGGTAAAATTTATGAAAAAACTTAAAGTGAATCCAGTAGGATTCACTAGTTTAGTCTAGCTTCCAATAGTAGTAACTATTATAAAGGCGAAAGTTTGTAGGTTTGGATGTTTGTTACTTCTTTACGAAAAATCTGATGCATACAAGAATACAGGAAACTTATTCTCATTTTAGAAGTTGGTTAAAAATAAACGACTGTAAATACTAATACCACGCAAACGAAATTGTGGGCAAAATATGTTAATTTCGTCAAAGTTTTAATAGCATTATTTTAAGGATATACTCATTTAAACAAAAAAAAGTGCAATATGTATACAAGAAAATAGTCAAATTGAAAACCTATTCTTATTTTTGTAATTGGTTAAAAATAAAGGACTGTAAATACTAAAACGAAGTTGCGGGCAAAAGCTACTAATAGAATTTGCAAATCGATATTTTTAGATCCCGATGCGCCATCCCGCCAAGATCCAGAGCTCCGAGAATTTGAGCACTGGCTGGTCGTTAATATTCCCGGTAACGACGTGACCGCTGGCGAGACCCTCGCCGCCTACATAGGCTCTGGTCCATCGCAGAACTCTGGTCTCCACAGATACGTGTATCTAGTATACAAGCAACCATCACGACTCACCTTCGATGAACCTCGCCTTCCCAACACGTGAGTGTCTTTATCGGGTTTCCTTATTTCAAAACAGAATATCTTCGCTTTTCTCCGCCTATCTAAGCTATTTGCTTCGAAGTTATTGATGATAATGACGCTATAAAACCACTGCGCTGTATGAATGACCTGCTTAAATCTATATAAATGGCAGAGATAAATGTAAGTCTATTACGGCTACTCTATTTGTGGTGCTTATAACTTTTCGCAGGTCTGCCGACAATCGTACCAACTTCTTCATTGCCAAGTTTGCTGAAAAGTACGAGCTCGGTGATCCGATCGCTGGCAACTTCTATCAGGCTCAATACGATGACTATGTACCAATCTTGTTCGAGCAGCTTGGTATTGATACTTACAACTAAGGTTTATGATTTATCACTATAATATCCGAGCATGTTACAACATCTAATTAGGTTAAGAGTCCTATTAGATTTTGACGTGATTTTTTCGCGTTTTTGATCCTAGAATCAAAAATATATTACTAATTTTGACTTATTCTAATAGTCCAGAATAACTATTGGCATAGTTCGCAGTGGCTTTGCTTTTTGTACCTTTGCATTTTTAACCCGAATTATTCTTCTATATAAGTGATAAACTTTGTATAATTCGTAGCGGCCTCGAAATTTGAAATATCATTGGTTAAATATAAAATTATTACTAATAATTACTTACCAAAAAACTTCATAATTAAGGCTAAGTATAAGTTAACTGTGAATTTCCTCTATGATCATATTATTGATCAAAATTTTTACTACAATAAATATGTTCTAAAAAAAATTTCATAAGTTCAAGCACAAATTTAACTGCTAAAAATATAACTGTTAAATTACTACAAAATTCGATATACCTTTTTTTATTCTGTCGATGCTCCGATCGTCTGAACTTATTTCATGGCGTAGCTCTCGACTTTCACAAGTGCTTGTAACAGCCTAGACTGAATAAATAATTTTGATTTGATTGGATTTATTTGTAATTATTTGTAATAGGGCTCTTAATGATTTGTTGTGTATAAGACCATTGAATATTGTTATTTTAAGAAATCAGAAAGTATATTTTATAATTATAAAAGTCGTTTATTATTGTGTCAATCAGTGGTGGATTATCGTCAAGGAATATTAGGCAAGTGTCTAGGAACGTGAACATTACTTAGGGGCCCGAAATTTTACATAACAATTTGTTTCGCAATCGCATTTGCGCGGGAGTGAGATTGGCGGAGTGAGCTTCAATATATTGTTGCATAATGAAACTGGTTTATTTGACCCACACCTCCAAAGAGACTGAAGAAGTCTCTTTGGAGGTGTGGGTTCGTATCCCACCGCTGGTACCTTGTTACGTAAACTTTGGAGTTTCTGATATACCTGTTATTAACATACCAAATATAAGTTGTCTTTTAAATACCCTTATTTATTTATCAAAAATATTACAGCATTGCTAAAGTAACCTTGTTTTGCTAAATATAAAAAAGAGAAAGAAAAAGGAGGAAGTTATTTTTTGTTATGTATAAAAAAAAATAAAAGGCACAGAGCAGGGGTCGGCAACCTATTGCATACAAGCCGTATGCAGCTCTTACGATATAAAGATACAGCTCTTAAGTTCCACTTACGAAAATAAATATTACTATTGAAACCCTTTAAATCCTGTTACCGTGCCATATTTAACTATCAAAATATAACATGATTAAAATATATTGACTGTCTAAGAGCTATCTGACTGAGAATAGCTTTATATTCAAAGTCGTTTATTTATAATAAAATCTCATATTTACCTAATATGAATAATATTGAAAAACGAAAGAACTGAAAAACTGTCAAAATTGTGTATATTGTAATGTAGCACATTAGGTTGCTGACTCCTGATTAGGGCACCGTCTCCTTCTATGCGCCACTGGTTTTAGTTACAATAACCGCTGGGCAAATTAATATTGTCTGTCACCGAGCACAGAAAAATATTTGTAGTTTCATGATGCTTGTATTACAGATTTATAAGTGAAAAGTAATTAATAAACATTTGTATCCGAAAAAATGATTTTTTTTACTAATGCACACTAGCCTACCTACCAACTACTGTACATTTGTGCTATTAACAATGTTGAAATATTTATCATTGAATCCTATTCGCTCATGACCGGTATTTTATGTTTCGTTTAACTGAATTCGTCAATAACCATTATTGGAGATTAATTTTTGTAGCACGATCTGTTCTCTGTTCCTCTATAATAAGTATTAAAATCATAAATATACAATTAAATATTGTAAATAGAGAATGTGCAAATTAATTAATAATTATTTTGGTATTTTAATCATCGGAAAATATATTCTATTTTTTTTTTTTTGTTAAAGCCCTATTTAATTAACTGCTTGAAAACTGGTCAGTAGGTGGATGAAAATTTCACTAGATTATACCTGTGAAGAGTTAACACTATTGTAATCGACAGAAAGAACAGAGGACTGTAGATCGTTTAATAATATGACTTTTAACACAGAGAAACATTTATTGATCAACGTACAAAGGCAAGATATATTGAGAATACATTGACAAAGTCAAAAAATAAAAAAAATAAAAATTAAAAGCAAGTATAAAAGCCTCCTTAAGAAGGCCAGTAATAATATTTCAAAAACATGGTAAGGCTGTCGACAACAACTATTTTCAGGAGTTCATATTTTGATTCTCAAACTTGGCATTTCTACTAATTGAGTGAAAACAGGCTTATCTACCCTATTAGATATGATTGTTATGACAGGATGGCTATCATGTACCTTGTATTCAACGAGTGTCCGGAATTTAGAATATTTCGAAAGCATACAAAAGTATAGATGAGGTACATATCATATATGTAGTTAGATATATAAATACTTTAAAGCAAGCAAGATTGAGTAACATAAGATTGAATCAAGTGGACAAAACTGTGAAATGTTACGAGTATAAGGAAGGATGTAATATACTCTTTATTGCACAAAAAACAAAGTCAACATTACAAAGTATGTAAATCACAAGCAAGGGTGGGCTTATCTCTATAAGAGATCTCTTCCAGCCAACCAGGCGGTGTGGGAGATCAAGCAGTAACGGGAGACTGACAAGTGCATAATTGTTAAATTTGATGTGAATGAATATTAACATTAATACATATAGGCATGATATAAAAAAAAAAACAATAAAAAAAAATAACAATACATAAATAAACAATATTATATAATACATATAATATACATATATAAATAAAAATAATAATGATTACAAAAAACTATGAATACTAACATTGTGCTAGAAAGTGCTTCTTGAGTTTAGTTTTGAAAGATATGATAGAGGGGCAGTCTCGAATATCTAATGGGAGTTTGTTCCATAGTCTAACAGCCCGTACAGAAAAGGAGTTGAAGAGAAAATTGGTGTTACTTTAAGGCAGCTCCAAAGTTTTGGTAACTTGTAACTACGATGTAAATATGTCCTAAATTATATTATTGCATAAGTATATTCTTATAGGTTTGCTCAATATTTTTCACTTACCATACAATTAGTAACAACATCCTATAAGCTGCTCCGTTTAATTCAAATAAGAGTCTGGTTGCTTGCATTTATACCGGTTTGTGAGTTATATAATCTTATATAAGCGTAAACAGTAAAGGGGCCATTCGGCTGATGACCGCTGAGCTTAGACAACGTCACTACACTAAACAAAATACAAATTCAAAATTAATTTAAGAAGTGTCCAATGCTTCCGAAGCTCAAAATGGGAACAATATTGAGATGTGCGATTATTTTGTTAATAGCAGACAGCTCTATGGTCAGTTTTAGTGCTTGTACGGAAGTAACAAACACTGTGGAGAAATCTTTTGAGGCGAACCAGGTGGTGCCCGATGTGGTATCTAAAGCGCCTACTGCTCTAGTCAAGGTAAGATTTGAAAATTATTATATTATCTTAATATTGTAATGAGTGTGGACACGTACATATCATCTAAATTACACCATGTGGTAACTCGTGCTTTGTTTTGCATTTAACGATGAAAATTTTGCAATTATTTCTCAAAAATTTCAAGGCTTTTAGAAACACGTCATTGATTCTTTTAGTGAATGAAAAAGGTCGGCATTAAAAATGTGCCATTCTAATAATTTATACAATTCAATTCATTTTAATAATATCATCTTTAATAACATCTTTATATGTTACAAAAAGTAGATGCTAAACCCGCTTCATGAATTTTTCATGGTACCTACGTCAAGAGGTTTCCATGGTACTTCGGTTCTATTTGCACAGAGGCCGGGAAGAGGAGAAAATGAGACTTGGTGATTTAATCACTAGGATAACTTCTTATTGGACCCTGGGTCCTACTCGTGCCCAGGGAGCCTCAAATAATCACTGAAATTCGTTAAATTTACCACTAAGTTACTGTCAATAAAAGTTGAAAAATAATAATTGTACTTATTAACCATATTGAATAATTTAATACTTATTTTATCCACCATTTTGCTAAAGGCAACTTAATGTCTTAGGTCTACTTTGTTCGCTCTTTGCTTTGCTCTTTATTATTTAAGTTGACAACTTAATATACAAATAATAATAACTTTGATATATGACAACGCAAATATAATATTAACATAATTCAAAATTTAAGGGACCGTGTACGGTAACGTAATATATTTGCCTATAATGCTTAGAAGAACCAAAAGGCCAAAATGGGGTTAGTGGCTAAAACCGGTCATCTGCCCTGTAGGTGACGAGAATGACACTGACACTAATAAAAAATTTATAGGAAATTTATTTGTATAGTAAATATGTTTTTAGAACCAGTACTTAGAATATTTTTATTAATTTATTATAAAATTTACTAGTAAATACTAAATTTTCAGGTGGTGTACCCCAACGACGTGGAGGTGAAGGAAGGTAACGAGCTGACCCCCACCCAAGTTAAAGATGTCCCCACAGTTACGTGGGAAGCTAGCCCTGCCAATTTATATACTTTGGTTATGACAGGTAAGAAAATAAAAATTAAATGTTATAAGTTAGCTTTTACATATTATAGCCTAAGCGATCATGACAAAAAAGCACAAGTGCTTTCTAAAGCTTGATATTTCAGTATGTTAAAGTACTAAGGGTATACATTACTCAGTATCCAGTGCGGAGGTCAGGCATTGGAAAACCTGTTGAGCACTAAAAATTAAGCTTCCGAAAGCTCTTGCGTATTTTTCTCACGAATTCTCCGTCAAATAATGTTGTTTTATTGGACCAGGATCTATGATTTTGTATGTCAATGTCTAAAATTTACTCTGTCATTAATAACATAGTGACCATATTAAATTTCAAGAATATTTAAACCGTTTCTTAATATATGCTATATAGACTTCATTTATTCTCATAGAATAAATGAAGTCTATATAGTTTATTCTCATAGAATAAATGAAGTCTATGCTGAAAAATGCGAATCTATTACTTTCACTTTTAAGAAAAGATGAAAAGGCAATCTCAAAATGGAAAAGGAGGTTCTATGTTCGGCGGATATGTATTTTTTATGTATGTTCACGAGAATCTTCTTATTTATCTATGAAGTAACATAACTTATATAGTATCTTGGAAGTTCTAAAAAGTGGTCTCATCAATATGGGTAGGCTTTTTGGATGTAGAGTCGACCCATAAAATCAATATTAATTTCCTAGGTATGTAGGGAAATGCACCTTATGCCTTAAGCAAGGCTCTACAACCACTAGAACCTGTCCCGAGGGGCAAGATCAAAGTGTGGCTGGCTTATCTGATAAAATCTGCTACGTAATACTCTTACTGGAGAGGAAGGTCTCCGGGATCCGGCAAGGATTGCCTCTAGATCAATTTAGGAATCCAAAAGGGGAAAGATTTCTTTGTTTCTATAATTTCATCTACAAGAAGCTATATCATACGCCAGTGATATAGGCTATAATTTAAGCGGGCGTAGTTGCGGAAAACGGTTAGCAATAGTAATGGGAATTGGGAATTATTAAAAAAAAAATTCCACCATTTTATGGTGGATATTTATTAATACACAAAAACATATAATTGTGTGTAGTAGGTTTCACTTCAATTAAGCAACGACGAAGGGGTTAAACTTAAATTATTTTAGCCATTCAAAACAAAAAGAACTTTATTTTTCTTAAAAATATTTTTAATATGATTGTAGACCCTGACGCGCCGTCTCGTCAAGAGCCAAAGTTCCGTGAATTTTGTCACTGGCTGGTGGGTAATATTCCCGGTGACAACGTGGCCTTCGGCGAGACCCTCTCTGCCTATGTCGGTTCTGGTCCACCTGAGAAAACTGGTCTCCACCGATATGTGTTCCTAGTATACAAGCAAGCAGGTCCAATCACCTTCGATGAACCTCGTATCCTTAACACGTGAGTATTAATGATAAGGAGCTCGTAAAGTTTCCCACCACAGCTTAGCAAAGATAAAAGCGGCGGCCTGCGATCGTTATTGCTGAATTACTTTCGCAAGGTCGGTCGCCGGACTGGTGACTGGTGGCTGGGAGCAACGGCCTAAGGTAGGATCTCGTGATAGTAAATTTTTGGTCCCTTATTATGACCGGACGCGCTTATAACTGCGCCACCGAACACATTGAGTCCTCAACTTGTATTTACCTAGTTAATAACTACCTGTTATAAATAATATTATTTTCGAATGTTACGTAAGTAAAATTATTTAGGGTGGTCAAAAAAGATCGGCTTTTAATTATTTAAATTTATTTTTAATTCATGACCCCCATGATTGATCGATCATGTTTCACAAACGTCCATTAAAATTGTCATTAGTAAAGCGACATTACTGACACAAATTTTCACAGTTACAAAATACATTACTGGATATACTGAATTCCGTTAATGGACTTTTGTGCAATTGACCGACAGTTGAACCGAAGGTTGTACCGCCGAAGTAAAAAGGTTATATTAATATATTTTTCCATATGCAGGTCTCGCGCTAACCGACCGAAGTTTTCCATAGCCAAATTTGCGAAGAAATACAATCTCGGTGAACCGGTAGCTGGCAACTTCTTTCAAGCTCAATACGACGACTACGTACCCATACTCCATAAGCAGCTTGGAGGATAAAGTTTTTGCAATTGGCGACAACAAACTTTCTTGTAAGGCCACAAACAGGCTTTAAATTACTCGAATTCTATATAATCTAACATCTAATAAGGTAACAAATAAACGTGGTATTCTAAGAAATCAAAAAGCATTTTTTTTTTTCATATAACTTTATGTAGTTTATAATTACTATTCAAGTAAAAGCTTCAAAGTTTGAGACTCTTAGCCTATTCGTCACGCTTTCGTCTGTATCTCATTTTAGTCGCTCCTCATTTATTATACATGTGTTGACGCTGGTGTTGAGAGAAAAAAATATGTTACCTATCCACGCATTATGTTATGCTAATAACATAGGTAAGTTGCATCACTTGTGGCGTTCAGTTTTAATTTTTCTATGTCTATTTTATTGAGGCAATTAATATTTACATTAAAGCCCTTTTTTTTTGTCAAAACTTGTTGAGTAAACAAAGACCATTGGTGAGTCAATCATAGAGAAAGGTAAGGAATCTACACTTGCATTATAGGTATTCTAAAAAGTAGTTATTCCAATTTTGTAATACCTGTGTAAATGGCAAGGGCATCTCTTTATTTATGAAAATTAAGGCTTTTAGTTTACTCCACAACGAAGTTACAAAGGGTCGCAAAAGACTCGAATGACTTCAGGAAAACGATAAACTAAGACTGTTTATTACAAAAATATTAAATGCTTATGTTATAAGCCCATAAAATACCACTATGATAAAACAATATGCTTATTTTCAATGATATGATTGTCCAGGGGCTCACTGTTATAGGTCTTAATATTTAAGTTCTTTGTTATTTCCACAGAATAGTTAAAATAACCTCTCGGGGATGAAGTTTCCGGATCACTGATTTAAACAGATATGTCATTTTCAATTGAGGGAACAGCGAGATCTGAAAACTTATATTATTTAGACATCTTATAAAAAATATAGATTTTTATATTAATTATACGGGACCTTATAGTCGTGAAAGTTCTATTGCCAAGTACTGCAGTAAAATACACTGGTGTTTGCTCCTTGTACTGATTTAATTTTGTGTTGAGTTGTCAAAGATCAACCGTTGTTCCTTTCTTCTAAAAATATTTACTTGGAACCTCAAAGCATAAACAGTTCGAAGTTTGTCGAATAAACAACTCGTTTTAATTCCATAGATAATAGTGCTGATTCTATTATACCATTCTGAAAACTAATAACGAAAATAATATAAACCTATAATATATTTTAGTGTAATTACTTTAGTTTTGTATTGAATATGTTACAGAGTTGAAGATTCGGTTTGACATGATTAAAATTTATCCAAGGTTTTGCCGACATAATTGTAAAGTTGTAATTAAATTCGATGTAATATTGAGTATCAGTTATTACAAACAGTCTTGTTTATAAAGTGTTAGATCATGTGAAAGGTGAACTATTCGAGGAATGGAGATTTTATTTGAAAAAATGAAACACAGGTATGTTTAAAATCTAAATTCAACTAAAGCATTATTTTCAATTATTATAATAATTATACTTTTGTTAAATAAGCTTACCACTTCAATAATTCAAATAATGGAAAATGCTTAAAAATCCAGCAACCACAGGTACTTTGAGACGGGACTCGAACCTACGACCTTTCGCAGTCGCCCGCATTGCGAAAGGTTGTGGGTTTGTTTAGTAATAAGTAATGATAAATCTTAAAAAATGTATTACACATAGTCAAAACTCTGCATAAAATATTTTTTAAGATTTATGATTTATTATTCTTTCACATATAATAAAAAAATACACTAATCTAAGTATGAAAAAATCACAGTATTCATTCGACCTAATCTTCACACTAGATCTTTTAATTGTCAATATTCATTTCATCACAATACAATTATGAATACAAAGAACTTTGAATTTACATTAAACTTTTTACTACAGTCTGTTACCAAGGCAGGCCAAAACATACACATCATCAACAATACATATCGTTATCTATAAAAAAATATCCAAATTTATAAAAATAGTTTTCACTAAGTACGAGACAAGTAAAGATACCACGTTGTACAAATTAACGCAGTACTCCGCTAAACGATACAGAGGTGTGTGAATACGACACGTATCGTCAATTCTAAATGCTCACATAATACTTTGGATCATTGTCTTTTTTTGGCTTACCCTAGACGTATTTTTATCTCTACCTAACTACACTTACAGCCAGTTGCACAAACGTCCATTAAAATATTCATTAGTTTAAAGCGACATTACCCATACAAATTTGACATTAATTAGAGCTTAAAGTCGTCATTAAACCTTAATGTACGTTTGTGCAACTGACCGTTAGTTATTTGTAATAAATATACGGTTAGGTACAACCAGTGATGGATTATATATTAATGTTTTAGCGGTGTTTCTGTTGCTTTGCTTTCCTCATTCAACATCTGTGTAGAACGATTTATGCAATTTATACCTTACTAACGCTGATAGTAAGGGCGTATGTGCACTACATTGAATTTTCAGGTCAGGCAGTCCGATTTTTTCCGGTCCGGAATGACATGAAAAACCCGGATGATTAGCTTGTGCACTTGTCCGTTTTCTTACGGATCGGAGCGACACAGTTTAGGGTAGCTCTCTGTGAAACTACAAGTCAGTGATCATACGGGTATTTCGTGAATCTGGCGGGTCAAAAGTGAATTTTGTCAAACATCTTTTAGAATAAAATGAACAACGTTTTCTATTGGCCCGATAGTTCCTACAATTAAAGCAAAATCCGTTTTTGCCCATCCGCTATCCGCCGTGCTTGTAAACACGTCGAAACTTGACTATTATTGTTCATTATCATTATTCTCTTATTGCTGTTAGATGCGTTAGTTAAGTTTGATATGGAATAGTCTTTACTAGATGATTGTTACAGTGTAAACAATAATGGATCGTGAAAATACAGGTAAGTTGATATATTTCCTATGTTATTTTGTACTATGTTTTGTAGAAAAAGACTTATTAATAGCATTTGAACTTGCCTACATTTTTAAATAAACAATGTTTCTTGTTTAATAATTCTCTAAGAGATTAGTCCTTTTTTATATTTGTATTTTCTTAAAGGGAATTGTGGGAACCGAAGATTTAAAAAATTTCCGTTTTCCATTGATTTAAGATTTTACATTAATTTACAGGCTTAAAATAATTTTGGAGGTCATTTCAAGTGGCTACAAAGCTGATTTAATAATCTTCGCAGATTTTTGTTTGAAACTGCTAAACATTATATCGCAATATCCATGGCATCCCATGATCCCAACCATGCACAAACTTCTTATGCATGGTATAACAGTGATGGAAAGGCATTATTGCCAATCGGTATGTTATTTGAAGAAGCTGCCGAAGCGCACAATATACATTTCAGGATGTACCGAAATAATTAACCTTTTTCAAAGAAAACAATAGAAATATTGATATAGATCAAAATGTTGATGATTCAGACTCCGAAGAACCGTGTTCTATAGAACACGAAACAGATTAGAAGAAACAATTAGAAGAAAAATCCTAGCAGTCACTGTTCAATTGAATATATTATTTGCTGATTTATAAAGCTAATATATAAAAGCTGTTTTTTTTTGTTTATAAATAAAATTATATGTAGTCAGGTGTGTTTTTTTTTTCATAATTAGCCTACCAAAAATAACTCCTCCCAATAAAATATGTTTTAAGATACCTTAAAATCAAATAATAACGAGATAAATAATTTTGGCCATCCCAATTGGCAAAATACCCATATGTGTGTGATATGTGAGATTTTAAGAACGTCGGCAATTACTTGCTTTACTACTCTACGTGACGAAGACGCAGAAAACAAAAAAAATATTGGGTTCATCCCTTTACCCCGTGTGTTCATAAGTTTTGAGACGAAATAAAAGTTGCATAACTTTTTTAATAATTAACTATTATATAATAATACAATTTATTTCTTTTCACCAAAAGTTGTACAGTAGGTTTTTTTAATACTAAGATTAGGACTATACATTCACGTGTGAATGTATAGTCCTAATCTTAGGGTGCCTGCTGTTTCCAAAAGAAACCGGTTACACCGGTCACCAGGGCCCCGCATAAGAAAACAATGCCTAATAAAAAGATAATTAAAAAAGGAAATACAAAAAAAGTTTAAATAGATAAAGAGTTCACATTTTGCTTTGTGTGTTTATGTATTTGTGCACGTGTGTGTGCGTATTACATGAGAGTGCGTGTGTGTGTGCGCGTGTGTGAGCGTACGTTTGTGTTTGTGAATATACATTTATATTTATACCAGGGCAAACTCATTTGGGAGTAGCTGATTAGCAAAATGATAATTGTATTTTATTATTTAAGGGTATAAGAAGAGCTTCACTGGATTGATAATCTAATTCTCGAAGGTAAATTGTAACAGTTTCTTTACAAAGGGCTCTAGGAAGTGGATCTTCTAGAATAGTATTACTTCTAGAATAATTAACTTATATTTCTAAAATTTTCAGTAACCATTAAATAGATAATAATCTACAATAAAATGTATATTTTTAGTTATTAATGTCGGCACCAATCTTTTCTAGCGGAATTAGCTTTGCTTTTCGAACAAGCGTTCGCTTCAGTGACTCCAAGTTTGGGTGGGACTTTTAGCTAGCCCTGAGCTCTAATTCAGTCAATAAAGAATAATCCACCCGGTTGAGGTCGGGGCTGGAGAAGCGCCATTCATCCGTCGCGATGAAGGCCGGCACATTCTCCCTCAACCAAGCTTGGGTGTTTTTTATCTAATGGGATGACGCCGAGTCTTGCTAAAAAACCTAATCCTTATTGTGAAATATCGTTTCAGACAGGGGTGTCACCACGGGCTCTAAAATGTCACTCTGATAATTCTTGGCTATCACCTTGACACCTTGTTGGCAGAAATGGAGCGGAGTGACACCTTCATACCAAATTCCCCACCATACCATCACACTTTCTGGATGATGAATGCGCAAGACATTCCGTGCAGAAGCTGGGACATCCTTGCTACTTTTAGCGTACACTTTATTGTTTTGTCAGTTGAACTTTTCTTCGACAGTAAGAATTTTCTCGTCGGTGAAGAGTATCTTCCTAGCATCATATCTCTTCAGCAGTAATGGACAACGTTCGCGTCGTAATTTACGAAGACGATCGTTTAAAAAGTGAACTTTTCGAGGCCTTTACCTTAA